TCCCGGAGTTGCTGCTCCCCTTCCCTCCTCCTGGCCTTCCTCTCCCCCACTCACCCACTACACACACCCCACGCCGGATTCCGCTCCAGCCTCCCCTACCCGGGCAACGTGGCGGAGGAGGTAGAGAAGCAACCAACGTGGGGTGGAGGGAGAAGCAGCTGTCGTTTTGATCCGCGGGGAGGGGCGCATCCCAACCTCGCCTCCTCCCCATCCCCAGGCGCTTCAGCAAAAAACTAGCAAACCAATATTACTGGACAGGGACACCCAACCTCGCCTCCTCCCCATCCCCAGGCGCTTCAGCAAAAAACTAGCAAACCAATATTACTGGACACGGACACAAAGAAGTGCAAGGGGGGGGGGGGGGTTGCTATGACTCATGACTCCTAGTTTGGGGATCCAGGTTTATTTTCAGTCAGGCCAGGCCCAGGACCCCCAGTCAGCCTTGGCAAATTTGCCTTTGCGTGCAGCTGTCTCTGAGCATGTGCAGAGTGCACTTCGCTCCCTGCCATAGGTTCATAAGCCAGTCTCTGTTTGTGAAAACAGCGAGAGTTGAGGGCAGGATTTCTAGGCAGATTTCACCCCTGTCATCACGCTACCCATCTTTGCTATTCTGTCTTAACTAAGTACATACGTACACCCTTTTGCTTGTTAGGAGCAAGGATGGTGCAGAGAGATGTAGGAGGAAGGAGAGCTCAAGCTGAGTAGGTGGGAGGTCTTGAATAAGTCACTGTCAAATGGTCGTGCCTACTTTACAGGTAGCCACCATGCCGTTATTGGAGGTTTGAAGGCCTGCATATAACCAGAGGATTTGCTTCCCACAAGAAACTGCACTTTTAGATGGAGAAATTTGATGGCCTTTAACATTGTTTTCACCCTAGAAAGCAATCTGCTTTTGTCTTTAGATTCACCATGGATGAGGAGAAGGATGGAAGCATGGAAGAAGAGAAGCGTGGTATCCCAGCACGGCTTAAAGGTGGGAGTGAGGTGAGTAGCAGAGGGTGGTTTAACCACCCTTCAAAAGCTGACCCCTTTGATTGTGGTGAGCAGCCCATAATGGACCAAATAAAGGAGTAGGAATAAATTAGTCCCATCCTGCGTGAACAATACCATGGGAAAATCTGAGTGGGACACCGGATGCTTGAAATATTTGAGGATCTGCTTTGGTTTCAAGCTTTAATGGAGATTTTTGTGTGGGGCGGCCTGTGTCTTCCATTCTGTACTTCCAGAAGCTGCAAGCAGACAGGCCATTGGGGAAGGATGATGGCATAATCTGGGGATCCTCAGGGATGCAGAGGAAGAAGCTAAAGATGAGACCAAAGGAGATGGAAAGGGCACAGGACATTAAGGTGAGCCTTAACGAGATTTCCAGGGACAGAACTATGGGGGGGGGAGGTATCAGTGTGTTTTGTTCGGTGACAGAGAAGGGAACAGAAGCAGATCAGCATATACCTCTTGGATGTAACTTTTTTCTTTTTTAAAAAAAATTAGTAAAATCAATCCATACTTATTAAACATCATGATACATGGGTTCAGCTTATATTCATTTGTTGATACAGGTTAGGGTCTAATCTTTACACTGCATTTCTAACCATTGATAGAACAGGTTCCATGTTTGAAATTATTCTGAATCTTCCTTCTCTTTAATTTTCAATTTAAGTCTGTCTATTTCCAAAATCTTAATTATTTCTTCATCTGTAGGTATTCCTCCATTTTTCCAATGTTGTGCCAGTACAATCCTAGTTTATGTCAAAATATGCAATGTTAAATATACATTTTATCAAAATTTTCTGTTATTATACCTAATAGAAACAGTTCTGATTTAAAGTCTATATGGTTTTTTTAAATTTTAACAAGCCATGTATGTATTTTAATCCAAAAGTTTTTAACTTTATCACAATTCCACCATACATGATAGTAAGTACCTGCTTTTTGATTGCATTCCCAACATTGATTAAACATATTAGAAAGCATTTTAGCTAATATAGCAGGTGGTAAGTGCCATCTATATCTCTTGGATGTAACTTACCGTAATTGGTATCTTCATTATATGCTAAAAGCATTGTGAGATCTGTGTTAAAAAAATAGCCCCCCAAAAAGAGTTTAGATTTGTAAGAATGTTTTATAGCAGGAAAAATAGTAGCCAAAATTCCAGAACTGAGAATCAAGATTTGGGGGCGGGGGGAGGAGGGATTTGTATTGGTGTGTTTATCCCACCTTTCTTACAAGAAGATGTTGGGGACATATACAGTGGTACCTCTACTTACAAACTTAATCTGTTCCGGAACAGTGGCCGTAAACTGAAACATTCATAAGTAAAAACACCATTTCCCATAGGAATGCATTGAAAACCGATTAATCCATTTCAGCTGAAGAAAAAAATAGCAAAAAAATAAAACACTGCAAGCAAATAAAAATAAAACACTGGGGCTGCAAAAAACAAACAAACAAACAAAAATAAATAAAAAGCAAACATAACCCCTGCCAGCCCAATCCCACCCTGCAAAAATCACCCAAAAACAGTTTTTAAAAAGCAGCACCTTAACTCCGTTGCGATCGCCGCTGCCAGGAGTCCTCCCAGGCTCCAGCCGCTGCTGCCAGGCCAGGGCTTGTCCACCACCACAGGCTTTCCTAGGGTTCGCCGCAAGTGCCGACTTTCTCCCCTTGCTGCACGGCTTCTCCACTGCCATGGGAGGCTCTCCTGGAGCTTGCCCCAATCACCACCTTTCTCTGCCACCATCTGCTGCCGGACCAGGGTTTCCGCGGGTTCGCCGCAAGTGCCGACTTTCTCCCCCTGCTGCGCGGCTTCTCCACCGTCATGGGAGGCTCTCCTGGGGCTTGCCCCAATCACCACCTTTCTCCACCACCATCTGCTGCCAGACCAGGGTTTCCGCGCCACCGATGCAGGCTTTCCCAGTCTGGTAGACCAGCCCTACCAGGGAGGGCTTCCCCTGGTAGAGCCGGTAGACCGGCCCTACCAGGGGAGGGCTTCCCCGGTAGAGCCGGTCTATGCGACGGCAGCGCTGAAAGCCTGGGAGGCTGAGCCTCCCTTTTCCTAACCGTTGGGGCGAAAGAGCTACAAAGAAGCAGCCTTTTCACCACCAACGGGATGAATTTTCCTTTTTTCCTAACCGTTGGAGCGAAAGAGCTACGAAGAAGCAGCCTTTTCACCACCAACGGGTTGAATTTCCCTCCCTTCCCCCCTTTCCCCTTCCCCTTTTCCCTTGCCTTTTTCGTTCGTATCTTGAAACTCTGGCCGCAAGTAGAAGCAAAATTTTGCGGCTGGAGCTGTTCATAAATTGGATCGTTCGTAGGTAGGGACGTTCGTAAGTAGAGGTTCCACTGTACCATAAAAGATTTTCATACATTCCTCTTTTATCTTTACAACAACCCTGTGAGATAGTTTTGGCTGTAAGAGAAAAGCAGACTAGTTCAAGATTACCCAAGGAGTTGTGGTCTCAAATGACATATTTAAGTCCTGCCCCAGTAGTCTGGGTTCTTGTGTGTTCTGAAGCGTTTGTCTGGATCTCGCAGGATGGTTTGGTGTTCAGTTGTGCTCATGTTGGTCAGCTCCCCCCTTTTTTTGTCTCCTTTCCCCCCTCAGCTTCTAAAAACTTCCCCAAAGAATCAGAAATTGCTTGCCATGTCAGGCAAAGTAGAGAAGGGAGCAACAAAAGGAAATGAGGAGGTAAGAGTATCTTAAAATCCCAAAGGGTGGCAACATTTTAAATAAAAGGATGTAAACCTGTAGTTCTTGTCTTAAAACTACAGCTCTGTGCCTCAAGAGGGAACACGGTGTGAAGAGCTCCTGTTTACAGATGCAGTTCTTCCCTATACATAACTTTCTTCACTAGAATTGCCAACTTTTCAGGCAGCCCTTGAAGCTGTGCTTTTCAAATGCAACTTAATCTGGGAAAATTCATAAACACTTGGTGATGTTGTGGTTTAGTCATTAAGTCATGTCCGATTCTTTTGACCCCATGGACCAGAGCACGCCAGGCCCTCCTGTCTTCCACAGCCTCCCGGAGTTGGGTCAAATTCATGTTGGTAGCTTCAATGACACTGTCCAACCGTCTCGTCCTCTGTTGTCCCCTTCTCCTCTTCCCTTCAAATTTTAGTTGTCTGAATTGAATTTGCCCATTCCTGTCTGTTTTAGGTCACTGATACCCAGGATGTCAATGCTTATTTTTGCCATCTCCTGTTTGACCACATCCAGCTTCCCAGGGTTCACAGATCTTACATTCCAGGTTCCTATGCAGTGTTTTTCTTTGCAGCATCAGACTTTCCTTTCAGTTCCAGGCACATCCACAGCTGAGCATCCTTTCGGCTTTGGCCCAACCACTTCATTAACTCTGGAGCTGCTTGTCCTTGTCCTCCGCTCTTCCTCAGTAGCATGTTGGACGCCTTCTGATCTGAGGGGCTCATCTTCCAGCATCTTATCTCTTAGCCTTTTGTTTCTGCCCATGGAGTTTTCTTGGCAAAGTTACTGGAGTGGCTTGCAAGTTCCTGCTCCAGGGGGATCGCGTATAGTCAGAATTCCCCACAATGACCTGTCCATCTTGGGTGTCTCTGCACAGCACAGCCCATAGCATCTCTGAATTACCCAAGCCCCTTCACCATGACAAGGCAGCAATCCGTGAAGGGGAAACAGTTATTTCCTCTGTGCTATTCAAAGCTCCAGTAACTGATTTTTGCAAACCCAAGTGACTGTTAAGAACCCAACAGTTGAATAGCGTTGGGGACAGGTAAATTGAGGTCTTGCAAAGGTTTTGTACAACATCTCCCAGAGCCAACAGTCAGTATGCCAATAACGAGGATTATGGGAGTTGTAATCCAAAATGAGTAGTAAATCAATGCTTTCTTATCCTGGCTAAATGGGTCATACAGTGTGCCTGCCTGCTTTTCTGCCACTCTTTTTATTTTAGAATAATTTGATTTTATAGGGAGGAGATTATACATATAAAGACTAAATTGCTTTTGATGCCTTTTTGCTTTGTTTGTTTGTTTGTTTTCTTTTAGCAAGCTTCTTCATCCTTCCAGGATGGGTTGTCAGTGGTGGAAGATGGCAAGGAAGAGGAGCTGGTCATTAGAAGAGTGAAGAAGGAAGAAGAGGAGGAAAGGGCCCTGGAATATAAGGTGGAGGTACAGAGGATTTCTGAAGATGAGGAACCAGTGAGTGGGGATAAAGATGATGATGATGGGAAGTAAAACATTTGACGGGTGGGAAGAAGGAATAACTTTCACAGAAAGAGCATTACTTAATGTTTCTGTTTTTGTCATTTCCTGATTTCAGTCACATCTGCTTTACCTTGATTCTCCAATCCTGCAGAACTCATCACCTAAGGAAGAAATTAAGGTAGAATCAGAAGAGCAGAAGGCTCAGGAATTTGAAGTACAAAAAGTCACCATCCCACTAGATGGGACTTTGGTGAGTAAGGGTGAAGAATTCCAGGAAAGCTTGGGAGACAGAGAGACACATATGTGGAAAGTGGGAGTGTTGGCAAAAATGGAGGAAGCTCCTCCCAAAATATCCTAGCTATTATGGCTGAAAAGGAAGTAAATGGTATGCTTTCCTTCAGCATCCAAACTCCATACTAATATGATTTTTGGTATAGTCAACCAAAACGTTGCCAAAATTATGCAGAAGCACAAAAAAGCGCACAGGCTCGTGTAAGTTTAGGTGTTTGGAAACCCTTTTGTGACTTTATTTGGCCTATAAAGCTATCAGTTGGGAGTGTGGAATTTGTCTTCTGCTAGCATGGCTATCACTACATTCCATCAACAAAACCCCAAACTCCACCAGGCAAGTTTGTTTGCTTGCGTACTGCTCCCCAGGTTGCCACCATTACAAGTCAGGCTGAAGATGTGGCCCAGCCAGATGTGTGGGGGGGTATTTTCTGGGGTGGGTGGGAGTTTTTAAAGACTGTTGTGCATAATGTAGGGGTCCTCTCATCTTTGGGAATCCCCTTTTAAGTATTGAAAGGTTCCCTTTTTACGAAGTTCCCCTTTTAAGAACTGCTGCATAGCTCAGTGGCTTAGGCATCTGGCCACAGAGCCAGAAATTGGGAGTTCGATTCCCTACTTGTGCCTCCGTTGAACTCCCAACCTCTGGCTGTACAGGCAGTTACTTAAGCCACTGAGCTATCTAGCAGTTCGTCATCACGGTCTCCATGAATGCACACAAATGGGTGGTCTTCTGTGCTTGCACAATCTTTGGAACTTTCTGGAGTTAAAAAATAAGATCATTAGAGGCCCTGCCCTCCCACATTACGTGTTCGCACCTCTAACTGTCGTCCCTCAGTTCCTTTTTTGTCACCAATTTGGACGCATCTAGGAACTTTCTGGAGCTACCACCCTGGTCACCCTCATAGGGTTTCAGTTTAAGCTAATGTAACACAGTTGGAGTGAATTTCAGAGAAAGCAGCTGCCAATTAAGAAGCCAGCATTGGCTTTTCTTGCCATACACCAAGTTAAGAAACAGCACCACTGACTTCTTAACCGGCAGCAATTTACTGCTCAAATTTATACCAATGCAGTTATGTTACTAGTGGGCATAACTAACATGATTCTGGCCAATATTTTCTTTGTGAGGTAAATAGAGAAATTAAGAAGTCAGTGCAGAGGGATGGGCGCCATGTGGAAATAAAGCTCACCAGCCCGATTAAATCTTCTGGGGGTCTTTTAAGACTCTGATTGCAACCTAAGCTGTTTTCAATCCTTTTTTTCCCTTTCCTGCAGTCCCCCTCCTCTTCCTCTTCTCATCCCAACACCTGCGGTGTGTGTGGCAAGAGTTTCAGCCGCCGATCCAATCTGGCCAAGCACCAGATCATCCACACGGGTGAGAAGCCCTACCGCTGCAATGACTGTGGACGCAGCTTCAACCAGAGCTCTGCTCTCACCAAGCACCAGAGGACACACACTGGAGAACGCCCGTATGTCTGTGGAGACTGTGGCAAGGCCTTCACGGCCAGCTCGAACCTCCTCCAGCACCGGCGTTTCCACACAGGAGAGCGGCCTTATCGCTGCGAGCTGTGTGGCAAGGCTTTCTCTCAGAGCTCCAACTACAATCTGCACCGCCGCGGCCACACGGGCGTCACGCCGTACCAGTGCAGCGTGTGTGGCAAACGCTTCACGGGGAGCTCCTGCCTTACTCGCCACCAGAGGACCCATACCGGGGAGAAGCCATACCAGTGCCAAGAATGCGGCAAGCGCTTCTCCGGGAGCTCCACCTTGGCCAATCACCGCCGCACCCACACCGGTGAAAAACCGTACGGCTGTGCTGAGTGTGGCAAGAGGTTCACCCACCACTCCAACCTGGTAGACCACTGGCGGGTACACACGGGAGAGAAACCGTATGTGTGCACTGAATGTGGGAAGAGCTTTCGGCTTAGTTCCCACATCATTCGCCACCGTCGCACTCATGCCAATGCCCGCGGCACCAATCTCAGCCATGACATTCTCCACACCATCAATGCCATTTGTGACGAGGCCAACGTCAGAGCTTACCACCTCGGCCTTGGTTGTGCCAGTGATGGTGGGGCTGACATTAGCAACCCTCATGGGACCAATCATGAGGCCCGGTGTGCTGATTCTGGTGTTTCCAATGGGAACGATGATACTGATGAGGAGGAGGGAGACCGGCTTCTTATCTGCAGCCAGTGTGGTAAAGGTTTCCGCTTGGAGTCTAGCCCTCAAGAGCGGAACCAAGAAGACTCAACACTAGGGGATGGCCCCTATAGCTGTACTGAGTGTGGTAACAGCTGTTGGACGTAGGTGGGCAACTGACGGAACTGAGCAACAAAACTTCCATTGCTCTTTGAGGTGTCATATGGATTAAAAAGAAAAGCTCCAGCAGAGGTGAAAAGAGATGGATACATTACTAAATCTGTCATAGACTGGGGTGTGGACTGGGGTGGGGATGTATAATGAGCCCCACATTTTGTGAATGGGAAGATACTTATATGGAGCAGCCTGTTCTGCTTCCATATCGTTCTCTTGATTCTGCTTCCATAGCTTTCTCAGTTCGTTTCCAAAGCGATGTTTCTGTTTCTGATGTGAAAAGAAAGGACTAAATAATATAGGAAGGTGTGTACTTTTGAATTCTAAGCAAGACAAGAAAGGGGTTTCATAAAGTTGGATCTCACAGTGGCACTGGGAAGACAGTCCTCATTCCCTTCTGCTCCTCTACACATCTTGCCACCTCCTTCCATCCCATCCTTTCTGCCATCTTCATGTAAGGATGATGACAATGATAACAACAAACCTTCATCTTTTCTTTTGTTGTCTTTTTTCTTTCTTTTTTCCGTTTCTCTTTTCTTTTTTCCTTTCCTTTTTCCTTTTTTCCTTTACAGAAAAGAGGACTGAGTAACTTATTTTTCTTTCTTTCTTTTCTTTTTTCCTTTTCTTTTTTTCCTTTACAGAAAAGAGGATTGAGTCACTTACTAAGGCTCTGACTAAGGCTGAAAATGTCAGGAAGGGAAGCGCCAAGCAGGAATATTGTTTGAGCTGTAACTCTTCAAAATTCTGTCAGGAATCTGGTGTGCAATTAGAGACAGAAAAAGAAATTAAGCTGAAGTTATTGGTTTACACCACCAGTTCAATTTCAAGCAGGAAAAAAAGTACTGTACACTGAGGGAACAAAGGTGTATGTATTTATAATTGTTTAAGAAAGGGCACGGGGAAAAGATGGCTTTTTTTGTTTGTTTGCCCAAGTAAGAAGAAAAAAGTCTCTTACATGCACATGCCTGAACTGATACAGAAAGATTCTTGAGTCTCACTAATTCACAGGCATATTCTAATTGTTTGTTCCATGGGAAATAGAAAACTGAAAACTGGAGCATACATCATCCAGGACATTGAAACATGAGCAATATTCTGCCTTCTGTAATGGCTTTTGTTCTAATACACAGCAAAGCAAACCACACCCTTGAAACATCCCCAGACTGACGAAGCAAAGGTTTTCAGGGAAAGCCAAGGGCAGATCTCTTGTTACAGAATGCAGGCTGTATGTTCTCACTATGCCTCTCAAATGTTCACTACCAGCTGTCTCTCAAAATTCTGTTAGTGGCCTCATATTCAGCTTCGTAGGAGAGGGAAAACAATGTTTGTAGTTTCCCCCATTACTGCAACTAAATTCTTACAATCAGAAAGAACAGTCATTGTATGAATTCTAGTCTGGGAACTTTTTCTGAAGGGTTGATTGTATATGGTTTGCTGAAATTTCAAAATATTTTTTAAATCTGCACTAAAATAACCATAAATAAACTGTAGCAATGAAGACAACTTAGAGAAAGTGCATATTTTGTATACTCTGTCATGTTTCCCCAAACCACAGGTTACCAGAGAATCCCCAGTCTCTGATTACAAGAAGTCCTGATCAATCCCAAATGCAGTTTCTAATCTTACTAGCCCAATGTTTTCAAAACTTCCCTTGGCTATCATAAGAGCTAGAAATTGGTTGATTTTTTTCAAAAAAGATATGTCTTGAAAATCTCTCAGCTGGGTACCTGAAACCACATATGGAATGCATACTTTTTAAGTAAAAAAAAGTTGGGATTCCCCTCTCCCCACTAGATCCAGATATGCTTCCTTGGTGACTTAATGAAGTCACTGTGCAATGATGACTCTATGACATAATTTGTTTATTTTTCCATGTTTATTAAATTTCTTTTATAGACCTTTATGGCGCAGTGGTTAAATTGCTGTACTGCAGCCAAAACTGTGCTCACGACTCAGGGTTCAATCTCAGGTAGCCGGCTCAAGGTTGACTCAGCCTTCTATCCTTCCCAGGTTGGTAAATTGAGTACCCAGCTCCCTTGGGGGGCAATGTGTATCCTACATAATTAAATTGGAAACCACCCAGCAGTTGCTTTAAGCACTACAGGGAGATATATAAGCAGCATGCTTTGCTTTTTGCTTTTTCATGTGACCCTCTATTCTGTGATCTTCAGGATGGCTTAAAATAAAAATAATACTGTCACATCCCCAAACCAGCAATTAACAGAGAGGAAAGATTTGTTAAAACACTAAAAGACAACAACTGTCTTTACAGCTTAAAAAAGTTGCGGGAGGGAACCACAATGAAGAAAAACTTGTAGAAGAAATGTTAAAAATACAGGTACTGGTTAAGACTTCCAGGAGAAGATATTCCAGATTTGACATGTCATCCCCTAAAAAGGTGCCCTCCCCTGATGCCACCCATCTTATTTCACAGGGCGGGAGAGGAGACACCTAAAAAATAGCCTCTGGTACCTCTCTTCCATTATATAAGATTAACAATTGGACTGATCCAAGTGAAGGCAGTACAATTAACACTTGGCTACCAAGGCATGAGGCCTTTAAAACAAGCATAGTTCTGAGGCCAGATTTTCTCTTGTAGCCTGCCCTCTGGCCCTCTCCTGGCTCAGAAATGTCAGAACCAGAACTGGAAATGATTATATGCCCACTTTTGTTTTTGATATTTTTGAGATGGGGAATTTGGCACAGAGAAAACTCTGAGGGGGGGGTATCAAAAATGGCCTTGGAAGTTCACATGTAGCCTATGGGTTACCCTTTGCTTATTATTTCTTTAAGGAAAGTACTGGAAAATTAGCCACCACAGCTAGCCCTCTCAATAGGCAGAGAGCTTTGATTTTAAATCAGCCAAACATGGTCACCATTCAAACCAATTACTATAATTACTACACAAAATCATCTACTATGATACAACTTGTACAAATAAATGTCACATAAAAACTGTATAAATCAATATATTTCATACAAAAGCTGTGTGTATAACTATGAGCTCTGTGTTTTTGAAAAAGAACATGTGTGACAAGTCTGTCCCAATACTCTCAGGGTGTTCTAAGACTCTTTCCACCACAATGTTTGACCTCTAGCAAGAGAACCATGGGGTGGCATCTTATCTTTAGGAACACAGCCTGTGACCCTGGAATCTTGGCCTATAATGCCACATGTATGGGGGCTACTAGGGAGGGGAAGTATAGGGAAGGGCAGAACACATCCTAGGCAGGCCGAAATCCCCAGGTTCAAACTGTGGCATCTTCAGTTAAAGCAACGACTGCAAATGTGTGTGACTCTCCAGAATAGTGTTGGAGTGCAGCTGCCATCAGCCCTCACTACTGAAGAACTACAGTATGTGTCTGCCATCTGTTACTAAATTACCGGATTTTTCAGTGTATAAGACACCCCCATGTATAAGACAACCCCCACTTTTCTAACCCAAAAGTAAGAAATCTAAGAGGGACTTAGCAAGTGTAGGGGGAAAGGGATCAAAGCCCTGCAGGATCACTTTGATCCCTGCTTTCCCCTCTACTTGTTTTTTTTTCTGTCCTCAGCTTACTTTCGTGTATAAGACTACCCTCAATTTTTATTCTAAAGATTTTAGACAAAAGTATAGTCTTATACATGGAAAAATATGGTAATCAGGTAACTGGTGATGTGAAAGATCTGTACTCACTCCATGCATAACTATCACAAATCACATCAGCTTTGGGGAGTGTGAGAAAACTCTTGGGTAGGTCTGCTTCCATTTACCTACCCCTGTCTGATTTAGCTGTGGATTTCTCTCCTTATTGTTGTTATGTACTCTCTAATTGCCTCCGATATATGGTGGTCCTATGCATGAGTGGACCTCCAAAATGCCCTGCATCAACAGCCTGCTCAGCTCTTGCAAACGCAATACAAATGTCTTCCTTTATTGAGTCAATCAATGTCATATTTGGTCGTCTTATCCTGTTGCCTTCAACATTTCCCAGCATTATTGTCTTTTCCAGCGTGCTCTTACTAATAACAAAAATAATAGCAACATTTTGGATAACTTTACCCCCCCACACACACACAAATTCAGAAGGGAAAACATTTCTCAGCATTATTGTCTTTTCCAGCGTGCTTTTACTAATAACAAAAATAATAGCAAAACTTTGGATAACTTTACCCCCCACACACACACACACAAATTCAGAAGGGAGGGTTGTGCACTTAGTTTAGAGAAATTAGGTTACCAGTTATACCCTATCTTTGGAAGGAGCCAGAGAAAGCAAAGCCTGCCTCATAAGCTTTTGTTTTCCAGATGTTGACATTTCAGCCTGACCATCTTTTGTGACCAGCCTGATGAATACTTCCTTGCTCTTCTTCTTATGTGCCATCAAGTCACCTCCAATGGATGTCAATCTCTTCTTATGTGCCATCAAGTCACCTCCAACGGATGTCAATCTCCAAAATGCCCTGCCCTCAACAGCCCTGCTCAGCTCCCTGTACATGGTGCAGTGGTTAAATTCCTGTAATGCAGCCAAAACTTTGCTCACAACCCAGGGTTCAATCCCAGATAGCCCTCTCGAGGTTGACTCAGCATTCTATCCTTCTGAGGTTGGTAAAATGAGTACCCAGCTTGCGCACGGGGTGTGTGTGTGTGTGTGTAGCCTGCATAATTAACTTGTAAACCACCCAGAGAGTGTTTAAAGCGCTATGGGGCAGTATATAAGCAGCACGCTTTGCTTTGCTTTTGCTTTGCTCTAAACTCAAGGCTGTGGCTTCCTTTCAGGAGCCAATCCATCTCGTATTTAGTCTTCCTCTTTCCCCACTGCCTTTCACATTTCCCAGCATTATAGCCCTTTCAGCAGCCAATCCATCTCGTATTTAGTCTTCCTCTTTTCCTGCTGCCTTTCACCTTTCCGAGCATTATAGCTTTTTTCAGAGAATCCTGCCTTCTCATGAGATGTGCAAAGTAAGACAGCCACTACTTCAACGTATTTGCCTTCAGAGAGACAGTTCAGGTTTCATTTGATTTAGGACCCTCACTTCAGAGAATCCTGCCTTCTCATGAGATGTACAAAGTAAGACAGCCACTACTTCAACATATTTGCCTTCAGAGAGATAGTTCAGGTTTCATTTGATCTTGGACTCTCATCCTCTTTCTGGCAGTCCAACTCATTTCAAACGAATCATTTCCTTTTCCTGTCCATTTTCTTCACTGTTCAGCTTTCACACCCATACGTGGTGTTTGAAAATACAAGAGGGTGGCCGATCTTGGTCGTGGTCTCCACTGACACGTCCTGACACTTTTATGCTCTTTTGTAATTTCTTTCATTGCTGCCTTTCCGAATCTCAGTCTTTTTGTCCGCATTCTCCGTTTGGCTTGATGACTGAAGGTATACAAAATTTCAGTTTTTTCATTATCGATGGAAAAAGCTGTGTAGTTCTTCGGTGGTCGTGATTTTTTTCTTCTTCCGACTGCACTCCTGCGGGAGTCGAACGTTAGCTTCCATTTGTGACATTTTAGTAAAAGGATCAGCCCCCTCCCTTGCCTTCGGGTGACGTGAATATCCTTCTGCCCCTTTAAAGCTCCCCACAGTTGCCACTGGTGAACCTCTCTACCTCTTCCTCTCCCTTCTGCTGGCGGATCCAGAATGCTGTCTGGCTTCAGGTTGCGTCCGGCAGAGGAACCGTATTGGCTCTTTCCGTTTATGGAACATGAGGTGCGCCAATGAGAAACCTCCTTTCTCCCTCCCCTAGCCAACCAGCTCTTTCCTTCCTCCTCTTCCTCGCTAATTCCCCGCCCAGTAGAGCTGTAAAGAGGTCAGCGGGCGCTCAGATGCAGGAAATGGGATGATCGCGGCTCGGCTGTGCTTGGCTTCTTGCATCTTTGTTGCTTCCGACGTTCCTCCTGCAGAGTCCGTATCCTGAGCTTTGCTTCTTTGTTCTCCTCGTCCCAGTTCTGCATTGCCTGATGGAGGGTCAACATGTAATGGCTCAAGTCCATATCCAGACCCCAATATCCTCATCCTCGTCGTCTTCCTCAGTGGCTGGGGAAGAATCCAGGAAGCTGCAGAATCCAGTACGAGCTGCGGCCCGAGAAAGAATGGCGGGAGGCCGTCTGCTGGACAGTCATAGCTTGGATGGGATAAGCCAGGTTTACGGGACATCCAAGGCTCAGGAAGGAAGGAGGGCTACAATCTCAAGCGCCTTGGAGTTGGAAGGGACCGTGAGCCATGATGGGGATTTGACGCACTTTGTGGCCAACAACCTGCAGATCAAGATCAAGATGAGCTCCCGGGGCAGTCTGGATAACACTGAGCCCACCACCTCCTCATCGGTGTCATCACAATTGTCTATTAGAGGGAAAATTGCAGATATACCATCCATAGACCCCCAGGTAGTTCAAGACCTGGAAAGGCTCACTAGAGACGTGGCGCAAAAAGTGGACCAGATGCTGAGAGTCTTGAACAGTGCCATCCAGAACATGACAGCTCTCAGCGTGGGATACATCCAGACTTACCGAGATGCAGTGGACAGTTTGGGTGAATCAGTGGACATGAGCATCAAAGGGATGTACACTCTGATGGCAAGATGTGAGGAGCTGGACCGCTCCATGCAGCCTGTTCACACCCTTGCTAAACAGATCCGGGAGATTAAGAGGACACTGGAGATCTTTGAGGCACTTTGCAAGTAGTGCAATCGTTTCACACAGTGGTGGGAAGAAAAATGGGGTGGACTCTTGATGTACAGTGATTCATACTCTAAAAGGGAACATTTATGTGTGGTTTTTCTTGCACTATAATAAATGAATTATGACAGTGTTTCTCAAACTTTATAAAATCTAGCCCCTTCTACATTTACTAGATGTTTCTCTGTTTATCCAGTCTGGACATCTTAATGGCCCAGTTTATGCAACCCTTGACTGCTTCCTTCCCTATCTATATAAAAAAGATTCCTACATCCATCTGTGTGTCTCATCCTCCCTCCATAAAATATTATATACTTTCTATGTTGTACGTATTTCCTCTTCTGGTGCCACATTCCTTTTCAGTCTCAGGTGGTTCAAAAGACTTGCAATCCCACTTCTCTGAACCACCAACACTTTGGGAAAGCAAACTGGACTCTTTGTGGAACAGTTATCAATAAATTATGTATTTTTTATCTACTAAAAATTGCAAATGATAGGCTTTATATGTTATTTCTGTTTCTTAGTGATGGAGAAGCTACAGTATTTCCAAAAATTGTGGCCCACAATTCATTGCATAGAGGATTATTACTTTCTCATATAAACAAATGTGGTAGTAGAGGAGTACATCTCTGAGAAATTACAGAATATATGTTTCTGCCTGATTTAGCCTCATCATGTTCAATTAAAGGACAAGACTCTCAGGGGTATGGTTATGATTTAAATAGCTGTGAGCTCTAATAATTGTTCTCTGCAGTTACTTCTTAACATGCTCTTAAAGCAAGGATTTCCTCAAGGTTCACCTCTATAAGCTTACTAAATGAAAACAGAAATGAAAATAATATCCCACTATGGCTTAAATACAGGGACAAGTGTACTACAGATGTTTCATACACCATAAATATGGAGCAGTTGTAGTAGCAGAAACTGAAAGAAGTGCAATGCAAGACACCTGGCATTTTTAACAGGTCAGATTTCAAAGAGACTGCTGTGAAAATACACAATCCTTTCAGCATCTGAACTATCAGAATAGGTCATCTTGGCTGTCAAAGGGGCAGAAATGGCTTGATTCATTCAGCCTTTTGGACTACTCAGATGTGAAACTGCATAGTGTCGAGGCACATACCACATTTCACCCAGCCTTTGAGAGAGCATACAGATAAAGCAAGCCTCAAATGGTACCCATCTCAAGTTATATTTAGCAAAGACATGATTAAAAAAAGGAACTGGATTCACCAAGAGCAGATATTGCTGCCAACGCCTCGAAGAACTGCCATCTGTACACATTACAGTATCTTAAACAATTTATTGTGTCCCCAAGTTATATCAGCAGTAATGGCAGTTTAATGTATAAACTGCTTTTTTCATTCATGACACCCAATTTTTAAATGTATACAGTATTTAATTTTCAGCTAAGATTGTCCCCTAAAACAGCTTACAACTATTAAACTCCCTCACAAATTGATACAGGATAAGAAGTTAATGATATATATGTGGTGTGCAGAATGGGAAAAGTAGTAGTAACGTTTGTAGCTTCTATTTCTAGTTTCTGGTTCCTAATGGTAATGAAGAGTTGCTTGCACTGAGTTGTTTTACCATAGTTTCCCATTCTATTTATTTAACTGGATTTATCAAATTTAATCAAATACTGTATATCATTGTTTTATTTACAGGGTGGGGAGAGGCACTGCAATATAGCATTTGATAGGCCTTGGTAGGATACAAGAAGCTTACATTACTGGAAATTACTATAAGGAGCATCTAAACTGTTAATACAGTATACTGTTCCATCATGTGCCTGCTTGGTGCAACAACCTTGCTGGGTAACAAGAACTTCCATCTGTAAACAGTACAGATGATCTGAGTCGGTGGAACACATTGTTACTTTCTTTGACTGAGGAGCATCAGACCACTTTCCTACTGTTCCATGACTACTCTGTTGTCATTCTTTTGGCACAGTGTATCATGATTCCAAAAGGAAACAATATCCCACAGACTGAAAACATTCAATATACTTTCTAATTCCCAAGAAAAGAGATGCTGAAAAGTACAGCATCTAATGGACTATTACTTTAATTTCCCATGCAAGCGAAGTGTTGCAAGAAAGGCTTTTACCTTATGTGAAGCAATAAATGCCTGATGTTCAGGCTGGATGAAAGGAGGAGGGCACTAAGATCAAATTGAAAATATCTGCTAGCTACTAGTGCACACCAAAATTTCAGAAGAAAGTCTATGCTTTACAGCTAAGTCTTTGACTGTGAGTATCATTAGAAACTATTGTTCTGAAATAAATTAGTGTACCTCAGCATTGGATTGTCCTGATGCATAACCTTTATTGCGAAAAATAAGCTACCATTATCATGTTTCCCCGAAAATAAGACAGGGTCTTATATTAATTTTGCACCAAAAATACATTAGGACTTATTTTCAGGGGCTGTTTTATTATTATTTTTTCATGTACAACAATCTACATGTATTCAAATACAGTCATGTCATCTTCTGGTTGCTGCACAAGGGTGGAGGGTGGGGTTTTACTTAACTGGAGCTTACTTTGGGGGTAGGACTTAGATTACGAGCATCCTGAAAAATCATACTAGGGCTTATTTTCAGTTTAGGGCTTACAGTATTTTCAGAGAAACAGGGTAGGAGAGAATATGTCAGATAAGGGCACATATGTCAGATAAGAGCACATTTTATCCCCTTATCTGTTCAATCGTGCGCAGAACATATCATACAGAAAGCCCAAATATATGAAGGAGGAGTGAAAATTGATGGAAGAAACATCAATCATTTCAGACATGTAGATCATCTTACTGGGAGAAAGCAGCAGTGACTGAAAAGACTGATACAGTGAAAGTGAAAGAAGACAATGCCAAAGCAGGACTGCAGTTAACATGAAGACCAAAATCATGACTACAGAATAACTACACAACTTTAATGTTGACAACTAATTGATTGAAATACTGATTTTGTATACCTTGGTTCAATCATCAATTCAAATTGAGACTGCAGCCAAGGTAATGAGGAGGAGGCTGAGATATGGAAGGGTAGTAATGAAGAAATTAGAAAAGACAATCAAGGGTAAAGATGCGACTGGAGACCAAGACCATGATCACCGATACTCTTGTATTCCCAATCACTATGTACGGGTGTGAAAGCGGGACAGTAAAGAAAGCTCAAAGGAGAAAATTTTATTAATTTTAAATATGGTGCTGGAGGAGAGATTTGCAGACACTCTGGACTGCCAGAAAGATAAACAAGTGGGCACAAGATCAAAAGAAGCCTGAACTGATGAAACTGAGGCTGACATGCTTTGGGCACATAATGTAAAGTTTCTCTAGAAAAGACAATAACGCTGGGAAAAGATGAAGGCAGCAGGAAAAGAGGAAGACCAAATACAAGATGAATGGGCTCCCTAAAGGAAGCCACAGGATGCTGTTTACAGGAGCTGTGAGACACTGTCACGGACAGGACATATTGGAAACGTCTCATTCATAGGGTCGCCATAAGTTGGAGGCAACTTGACAGCACAGCACACAACAACAATGGTGGTTGCACAATTTAAGTTTCACAGTAGGATGAACTGTCATTGGGTGATACTTTAACTCATAATAGCCACAAAGCAGATCATATCCCTGCATATATCATCACCTATTTTGCTAAATGAGGAACAGATTAATACTGAACACTGGAAGGCACATATTAAAAAACATTTCACCAACCTCTTGACTTCATCCTTAAACACACATATTCACAGCAATGAATTAGAGTAGACGTGGCTAAATCTCTCAGAATTTCAGGAGTATGTGCCTGCCTGGGTTACAACAGCGTCGGGTACTGCTAAACTAAATAGAGAGCATGTACAGGGTAAGATTTACTTCAAAGTAAGCACGTGTAGGTTATGATCAGTATGGTACAAATTGGCTCAGTTTCTCCAGGTTTGGCATGGACTCCTCTCAATTATATTGCAGGTTTAGTTATCGCTACAAAGCTATCGTGCCGGTGTATCTGGGTAGGGCTATACAGTATTCCCGGAGTCTATTCTGACTCCAGGTGCTTAGCTGCACAAGGTGTGAGGTCATAATAAGCAGGAGTGAGTAGTCCCATCTTTGTTGCGTCCCGTTCACTTGGCACAGGAGCGCCCTGGAGCTTGGATGGTTAGAGAGCCGGCTGTCCGTCTGGCCACCTGCCTCGCTCTAGGGAAGCCCAATTGCCCAGGGCAGGACGGGGCAGGCAGGGTGTTCGAGGCTTAAGCTCCGACGCCGTCCGATCGGAGAGCAGACAAGCCTCTGAGCGCTGGTGGAGTGGAGTGACAGCATCCAAGCGGCAGCCGTCCCGACCGACCGAAGCCCCCACGATGGGGAGGAGGCGAGCGGTAACCAAAACCTGGGGATGCAGTGGATGGAAGTGCTCGTGGCACTCTGTGCTCCTGGCAGCCTGGATCCTCAGCTCTTGTTTCCTTCCGAGCCAAGCTTTCAGGAGATTTGTCACGGTCGTCGCTGATCCTGCAAAGCCAACCGCAGGAGGGAATGTCACCTTAATTCCCCAAGGGGCCATGAATGATTCTGTTAGCTGCCGTTGGTATCGAGGGGCTGCTGCTGATGCGCACATCATCCTCATCGAGTACGGGCCTCCATACAACACGAGAACACCAGGAGCGCTCTACAGTAACCGGGAGAAGATTCGGCGGCCGGCCTGTTCCCTTCACGTGACAAACCTAAACCATGACGACTCGACCACCTTTTTCGTGACACTAGATAAACCTGGATCAGTGGAAACAGGGAGCGTGAACCTTGAACTCGTAGGATTATCGGGCCGTGGCGGCTGGAGTGGTGGCCTCTCCAACGGCGTCATTGCTGGCATCACCGTCGCTTGCCTGCTGGTCCTCCTTGCCTTTGGGGGTATGCTGTATTTTCAGAACACCAACACTTCCCATTAGAGATCATCGCCACGAGTCCTCCACAGGCACACACATCTCACGCGGGACACTCCACCTTTGGACAACAACATGTACTACTATGCAATAAAAAGCTTCCGCTCTGTGAGCTCCCTAGGTGAATGCCTCTTACTCCCCTCTCCTCTGCTTCCCTTGGCCCGCACGATTTGCGGGGGAAGAAGGCGAAGTGGCTGGAACAACCTTCGGAAGCACACGATTCACATTTAATCAGTTCCGCTTGATTAAATACCATAATAGTGTAGGAGGGGGCAAAGGGAGGTGGGAGAGACATTTGGCAGTCCGTGGTTGCCTTTTTTCGGTTTGAAGTCAGACATCAGGTGCAGCAAGCCAGGTTTGAACAAATGCGACTGGCTAAAGACTCTTGATATTACATTTGATTCCTAAATTCAGACTTGGCGGGAGGGGGGGTTTCCTTTTACATCCCGTGCTTTGCTTTTGTGGTGGCGTGCGAGTCACAGTTTCACACTGCTGATCACGAGAAAGTGTGTTGTAGCAGTTTGGGTCATTTTGACACCTTGGGCTGAGACCTGCAGAAGCCCAAGTTCTGTCGTTGGGTGACATGCTTGGATAACGGGAACTTCCTTCTGTGAACAGTGCCGATTACCTGATCAGGTGGAACACTCTCACTTCCTCTCCCTGTGACTCATGAAATATTGTCTGATGTGCAGCAGATACATTCCATTCTGTTCTACAACTACGGTACTCCATTGTCCTTTTTTGGTTCAGTTTATGGTGGATCCGCAGTTCGTCTTCCGTAATACAGTAGGTTGAACAGTGATAGGATGATAAAGAGGATAGCTGAGGATAGTTACAGTGTATATACCGTATCCTTGCCCTTCACCTATTTTGTAAAGGGAGGAGAAGCAAATTGGTGCCAGGCCCTGCAGGGTACATAATCAAAATTCCTGTGCGGATCTCTTAGCTGAGACCCTAAATGCATTTCTTCACCGCCGTGAACCAAAGTGGGTGTACCTAGCTCTTCCTCGCAAAAGGTCAAGAGTACGCACATGCTCTGGTCACGACACAGACAAGAGACTAAATAGCAAGCTGAATTGTACAAGGTGGGATATACTTCCAAGTAAGCACGTGTAGATGTTGTGGTTATGACCAGGGTGGTTTATCATGGAGCTATGTGTCGGGAGACTATTCTGTCTCCAGGTGCTTAGCTGCCCAAGTGTGAGGTCATAATAAGCAAGAGTGAGTAGCCCCATCTTTGCTGGGTCCCGTTCACTTGGCACAGGAGCGCCCTGGGGCTTGGATGGTAAGAGAGCCGGCGGTCCATCTGGCCACCTGCCTCGCTCTAGGGAAGTCCAATTGCCTAGGGCAGGACGCTGGTGGGTGGAGTGACAGCTGGTGGAGCGGAGTGACAGCATCCAAGCGGCGTCTGGCCACCTGCCTCGCTCTAGGGAAGTCCAATTGCCTAGGGCAGGACGCTGGTGGGTGGAGTGACAGCTGGTGGAGCGGAGTGACAGCATCCAAGCGGCAGCCATCCCGACCGACCGAAGCCCCACGATGGGGAGGAGGCAAGCGGAAACCAAAACCTGGGGATGCAGTGGATGGAAGTGTTCGTGGCACTCTGTGCTCATGGCAGCCTCGGTCCTCAGCTCTTGCTTCCTTCTGAGTGAAGCCGGCGATAAAGTCATTACGGTCGTCGCTGATCCTGAAACGCCCAAAGAAGGAGAGAACGTCACCCTAATTCCCCAAGGGGGCATGCAGGACTATATAGTCTGCCGTTGGTATCGAGACCGCCCTTCTGATCTAAACGTAATCCTTGTTGACTACGGAGCTCTAGGGAGAAGACCGGGACCTTTATTCACTAATCGGGAGAGCGCTCTGCTCCCACTCTGTTCCCTTCACATGACGAACTTAACAACAAATGACTCGGCAACTTACACCATCAGACTGGAAAAAGCCCAGGGATTGGACACAGGGAGCGTGGTCATTGAGGTCATGGGAGAACCCCCAGCCCGTGGCGTCGAGAGTGGTGGCCTCTCCAAGGGTGCAACTGCGGGCATCGTCGTAGGTTGCTTGGTGGGCGTCATGGTCATTGCGGGTGCGTTATATTTCCGCAGCACCCGGTTTTTACACTAGCCAACAGCTCTTCTCAGCTACTCACTCATACAGGACACTCCGCCTTTGCACAAGGGCAGGAGTTTTATTTACTGGACAATAAAAAGTTTCAGCTCTCTGGGCTATTTAACGCGACGCCTCTTATGACCCGTTTCTGCTTCTACTGCCCTGCATGATTTGTAGTGAAGGCGTGGCTAAGAAAATCGTATGAAGCACACGATTCAGTCAGTTTCTCTTGGATAAATGCCTATAATGAGCATATAATGAGGTGATATATTTGACAGTCAATAGTTGTCTGTTTTGGTTTGAAAGTCACAAATTAGCTGCAGCAAACCAGCTTTGAACAATTGTGGATGACTTGTTAAATACTCTTTGGCATTCATCTGACTCAGAAATCCAGACATGAGTAAGAAAGATTTATTTCATGTACTGGTCTTTATTTTTGTGATGGCCTGCATGTCTCTTTTTTCCTTTCACTCACATTATACTTTTATTGTTTTTCTGCTCATAGGCAGACTTACATAAAAACGGTTAAAATTATGAATGACACCCTGACAACAGATATGTCCCTCTAACAGCTCCCTACCAAGATTGACTAATGCCAGATAACATACAAAGAATTGTTATAATTGTATTTTTATATCTGTTATTTGATGTGGAATTAATTGTTATAATTGTATTTTTATAACTGTTATTTGATGTGTTTCTTATCTATGTAAGCCTCCCCGAATAGACGGTGTCGGGGGGGGGGTATTGATGTGTTTTTATCTATGTAAGCCTCCCCAAGTAGACGGTGTCGGGGTGTGTGTGTAAAATAGAATAAATAAAATAAAATAAAGGCAGCCTCTGAATCTTCTAACTTGGAACATACCAGGATGGAGGAATAAATTGGCTGACTCTGATTTTATACAGTATCTACAATCTTACAACATAATTTGCCTATGAAAAACCTGGGTCCTGGAGTTTATCTATGTAAGCCTCCCCAAGTAGACGGTGTCGGGGTGTGTGTGTAAAATAGAATAAATAAAATAAAATAAAGGCAGCCTCTGAATCTTCTAACTTGGAACATACCAGGATGGAGGAATAAATTGGCTGACTCTGATTTTATACAGTATCTACAATCTTACAACATAATTTGCCTATGAAAAACCTGGGTCCTGGAGACAGATACTTTAGGTTTGCAGGATTATAGAACATGGGCATTCCCAGCCCAAAAAAACTTCAGTCCTGGGTTGAGGTCTCGCTATTGTGATTTCCTCCACAATGGGCTTGAAGGAAACTGAGATAACTGAATTAAACTAGGTATTGGCAAATTCTAATAATCCAAGGCTGTAACCTGGGCCCTTGATCTGCATCAACATTTATCTTCCACCAAAAACAACTGATTCTGGCACAGAGGTCTGGGCCAAATTGGAGGACCTTTTAGAGACACTATTCTCTGAGTACAGTATTTTAATAATATTTTTATAATTTGTGGTGATTTTAATGCTAGAATAGGAAATAGCTTTTCTATGATGAAAAAAGCTTTTGGCATGGAGCTCGAAGAAGATACGAATATCTCCTGAACTTCCTAAGACAAGGCAATCAATAAGTATGGTCACTTCCTCTTTATAAATTTTATTTTATAAGTCTAAATGGCTTTTACCTAGATACTGTATCTCAAATGGCTATTACACTTTTTAACTGATAAGGGTGCCAGTGTGGTAGACATATTGTAGGATCCTCTTCCAGGCTCCCATATGTAGATTTTCTAACAATTGATGACAGGCCAGAAAGTGACCATTTCCCCCTCAGAGTGTTCTTAAGGCTCCAACAAAGTAAAGCAGGGGTATTAACAGATCACAAAATCCCAGGTCATATATCAAGCGAAAAAAGGCTTAAATGGTCTATAAAAATGATGCTAACATAAGGCAGATGTTGAGCTCTAATAAACTCCAAGAGTTACGGCAACATGCTTTCCTTGGGACTCAGAACATTTGGAAAGTCTATCAGGACATAATTCTTGCACTCAAACCACATCTGACTATCATACACCCAGTCAGAATGTTGGAAGTTCAATGGTCTTGGTTTGATAGGGAATGTAAGGCCAAGAAAAAAAAAGTTGTTCAGAGCAACAAGACAGATTAAATCGATTGGGACTGATGAAGCCACAACTCTCCTGCAACACCTTTGGAGGGAACATAAAGACTTTCTTAGAGGGAAAATAAGGCTTATTATGTTGCTAATTGGAAATCTCTGGGCCAGGCCCTCATTGAGGGTATCGAGCCCAAGTTCTGGAAACAGATAGAAAGAGGCTTCTCACAGAAACCCTTTGAAACTGCCAACTTCATTAGATCAGAAGTATGGGTCTCCCTCTTTCATCATATATTTGGGGGTAGTATCCATACTAGAGACATCACTTTGCCGACAAAGATACGATAGTCAAAGCTATGTTTTTTTCCAGTAGTGATGTATAGAAGTGAGAGCTGGACCATCAAGAAGGCTGACTGCCAAAGAATTGATGCTTTTGAATTATGGTGCTGGAGGAGAGTCTTGTGAGTCAACTGCAAAGAGAACAAACCTATCCATTCTGAAGGAAATCAACTCTGAGTGCTCACGGGAAGGACAGATCCTGAAGCTGAGGCTCCAATATTTTGGCCATCTCATGAGAAGAGAAGACTCCCTGGAAAAGACCCTGATGTTGGGAAAGTGTGAATGCAATAGGAGAACGGGATGAAAGAGGACAAGATGGTTGGACAGCGTCAACGAAGCTACCAACATGAATTTTACCCAACTCTGGGAGGCAGTGGAAGACAGGAGGGCCTGGTGTGCTCTGATCCATGGGGTTCCCAAAGAGTCGGACATGACTTACGACTAAACAGCAACATCCATACTAACTCCATACACATGATTCCCTCTAATCTCCCTGAATGGTCACCTTTGTAGAAACTAGGGACTTGATTCTAACTCTTCAGAAAGGCAAGGCTCCCGGGGAAGAGATGATCCCTGCTGAGGTCTTTGCTATTGACATTGAGTGCTGATCCCCTATTCTAGCCAGTCTATTCACCTATATTAACAATACAGGAAACCTAACTACTGTACAGGCTGGCAAAACCGTATTGTGGTGCCAATTTTTAAGAAAGACCTGCTAGAACCCAGCAATTTTAGACCTAGCAGTCTTCTTAATGTGGCCTACCAACTTTATGCTAGATATCTCTTTAATAGGCTTCTGTGCTCATTGCAGACTCCGTCCTCAGCTCTTGCTTCCTTCTGAGTCAAGCCGCCAGGAAATTCCTTACGGTTGTCTCTGATCCTGAAACAACCATAGAAGGGGGGAACGTCACCTTAATTCCCCAAGGAGGCATGGACAACTCTCTAACCTGCCGTTGGTACCGAAGTCAACAAGGATGATGTTTGCATCAGCAGCATACATCATCCTTGTTGACTTCAGACCTCCAATCAACGGGAGAAGAAATGCGCGATCTTGCCGAGCATTGCAGAGACCGGACCGTCTTGGAGAAGATGGAGGACAAGGAAAACCAGCACCCATGTACACAGGCATCCACCTGCAGTACGCTCTAAAACAAATGCTGTGTTCCAGCAACCTTTGCGGCCTTTCAGACCCAGGAGGCCTAAGGGCATGTCGAAGCATGCTCTACGGCCCTCCCATTTCTAGCCATGCCCTGCCAACCTCTCCCCATTGGCCTACAGGACCACTGGGATGGCACTGCCCTTTGGGAGCCAATCCTCAAACACTGCTGAGGTCACGGGGATCCCCAACTCTAGGAAAGCCCCCTATACGTCCACGGTGACCTCAAACAGCCCTTACATCATCCCCTCAACCCAACCTTTCCAGAGGCAGTGGCCTGGGTCCATTCTTGCCCCGGAAGCCCCGCCCCATGCCCTGGAAGGGGCCTGGGTCGATCCTTGATCCGTAAGGCCCACCTTAAAGAGCGGGGGACCTGTCAAAATGGCTGTTTGATGAAGGCTACCCTGTTATACTACTGTGTACAGCTCGCTGGCTGCTCAAGGATGGTTGTATGAGAAAAGAGTGGGCGATGGCACAGAAGTCACCTTACAGTAAACACGATTTTTGTGCCCCTGAAAAATAAGATTTATTGGAAGATACGTAGACTAATTTTGCTGGAAAGTTTTGTGATATAGAAGAATAAATTACAGCCTCTTTATACAAAACCGGGTTGTAAGAGAAAACATGAGAAATCATAGCACTGCTGAGCTCCAGCCATTGTTTTCTGAGGAGAAAGAGCAACAGACTCCCTGCAAGTTCCAGTACACAAGCCCAGCAAAGTTATTTGGGGCTCTGAGACTTAAACTTCCACAAATACTTCCCTCTCTCTGGCACGAAAAATAGCGCGAGAATTACAGTTAGTACGGTATCTAAAAGTCTGCCGTCCTCAAATGACACTCAAAATCTGCTGCCTCAGGCAACTAACTGCCTCGCTCTGCCTAATGAAAAACGGCATGGATTGCCTCATGGTAAATCGTGTCTGTCTTTTCAAATTCATCACAAGAGTTGGGGAGTAAATGCTCTGGTTTAATTTTAGGCAAAACGGATTGTTGTAAACTCCAAAGCTCGGCAGCAGCACCCTCCACCTACAATCTTCCAGTGGGCGGGAAAGGAATGAAGCTCTGTCTTGAGCCTCAGCGGGTATTTATAGAACTACCTGAAAAGGGGCGGAGCTAGTTGGGCGGGAAGGGCTTCCCACTTGACGGTTAGAAGGTTCGGTAACGTGAGGCGAGAAACTATGAGTCCTATGTGAGGTGGTGAAACGACGACACCTCGTTTGTTCCCCTTTTTTCCCTACCCTCAACGTCTTGTTTCAAGTTCAAGTTCAAACGTCAGCCAACACGCAACTAAATTCTTGACCTTCTTTCCCTACATTCATACACAACACAACATCCTTTTTATAGTTTCCAAAAGTACAGCCTCGTCATTCCGGTGCAGTAAAGACGGTCCCGTAGCAGGTTGCAGTTGAACATGTGTGTTATTGCATGTGTTTTCATGAACGGTAGACCTCATTTCATCCTACGTAAAAGTTGGGATCATATAAAAGTATTATCCACACACACATACAGTACAATCATTAAATATATTGAAATGAGAAAGTTTTGTGGTAACTTAAAGAGGAACACTTAAATTACAACTTCAGGAAATGATTGCTTCAGCACATGCATAAATTTAGCGTGCTTGTATATGTTTATGTGTACATATACACATACATATGTATGTATACACATACACACATACATGTGTATATATGCACATATATACACCTCCACACATATACATGGGTACACACACACACATTAGTAGGCTATAATTCCTTGAAGTTCTTGTAGTAATATGCGTTTGTTAATCTCTAAATTACCACAAGATTCTTTCTCATTTCAATATATTTAATGATTATGATGGTAATTGTTAATACTACTCTTAGTGTAATACAACAATCTACAAAGAGAACAAGAAAGCTGAAATAGATATATTTCAATGATCAAGAAAGATTATGACTGGAGGGGCTGGTGGCTGAGGACGTTGTGTTCATGGGTTACGCGTAAAAAGATACAGTACAGTACAAGGAATATAAAGATACAGTATATAAGAAGGCACAAACTGATACAAAAATAAGATTAGCTGAAGAGACTTCCTCCCTTTACTGATTCTGAACCTTTTATACAACCGTTCGTCCTTTACGATTTCGATACGATATCTAGAATCATAGAATAGAGAAGTTGGAAGGGGCCTATAAGGCCATCAAGTCCAACCCCTTGCTTGATGCAGGAATACAAACCAAAGGATATCTGCCAGCTGGTTGTGTAAGTTTCTCTTGAATGCCTCCAGTGTTGGAGCACTAACGACAACTCTACTCATAAGAAGAAAGAAATAAACTAATGAATAATGTCCATAAAGATGAACTTACACAACATTAGAATTCCTCCATAAGTCAAAACACTTTCACTTTTTGCTGTGTACCTGCTGGAGCAGGAATGCATGTTCGATGAGCAGCTGTAACAAAGGAGACCTAACACTGGAAGAAAGCAGTAAACGTCAGGACTCTGCACTGGGAACATCCCTCTCTCCCTTCTGTGTTTGGGTCAGTTATTCTCCTTCATATACAAATCATTCTTACACAGTTTGCAACGCCAGCAATAGTACTACTGTGTTACCTTAATCGGTGTGAGCAAGAAACAGGAATCTGGTTTGACCATGCAAAAATAAGCTGCTGTTTAACATTTTGTGAAGCAATAAGACTACGAGGAAGTGGGGGGGGGAGTATATATCACTACCTAATTTTTCCCCTGAAATAGGGGACGTATTCTACTCCACTGGGCTGCAAAACTCCGAAATAATTGATTTTGCTCAAATCTTTTCTTACGCGGCTCCTGTAACATCTCTACTTTGGGGAAACGATTGAGTTAAAACCGTAGAGCTTAGACAGTTGCAGCTGCCTAGAAGGGACTCAGAAGGAAGTACAGTTAGAGAAGGGGCTTGATGATGAAGGGACCTTCCTGTTGCAAGCGGATCTCTGGAGTTAGACACCTAGCAGCATCCCCATGCCCACTCTTTAATGAAAACAAAGCCAAGAGGGAACACACCAGGCAGACACCAACAAAAATACAAGGTTTGACGTGGCTGCATTAGCATTGTCCCCCAGGGCAGCAGACAGGAAAAAATGAGGAGAAAGGGTCTGTGAAAGGGGTGGGAGGCAAAACAGCAACGGAGTCAGGAGATTGTGATGGCAGGCATGTGAGAATCGGGGCCAAGGGAAGGTAAGAAGGCAGGCTTCCTTCCCAACACAGGGATACATAGTGCTGTGTTTATACGGAGCCAACATCCCTTTAGGGAGAACCATTGAAATGAGAAATAATTTGTGTTGAGTGGCTTGGATCTTTAAAACAAGGCGATGCAGAGCTCTGTGGAGCCTAGGGGTGAAAGTAGGACAAGCCTCTATGCAAATATTTGTGAGGAGTCTCGCCAGACTGTCCCTTCTAGGTTCCATAGATCTCTTGTGTAACATAATTTTTTTAAAAAAACATGTCTGTCTGTCTGTCTGTCTGTCTGTCTGTCTGTCTGTCTGTCTATCTATCTGGATAGCCTAGTAATAGTCTTTATTGTTCTGTTTTCAAGGAACATATCTGTTCTGCAAGATATTAAAGAGCTGTGATCGTTCTAGGACTATGTAGAATGTGTGGGGTGGGACATCTCTTTTATGTAAAGTATTCTCATATAGTTATTATTTTGATTGCTATGGATCTCTAGACCATAGACATCTACACACCTTCCTCTTACATAAACCTATTGCTTTCCCTGCCATCAGGACTCCTTAGTACTAACGCTGCTGTTACTTCCCGTATGGAAAGTGCAGAAGAAATTTATGTTCTGGATCTCCAGGACTCCAGTGAGGAAGAAACACAAAGAGGTGAGAAATTAGGCATTAATTAATTAGGTGTCTTCAAGGTGGTTCTGACTTATGGTGATCTTCCCAGGGTTTTCAGGTATCAAATATTCAAAAGTGATTAATCAGTCTCTACTTTTGTGGTACCCTGGGACTGTACACCTTCCTCAAGGCCACATTGGTGGCAAAACATGTAATCCCATCAGTCAGAGAGGCTCCACATGTTCTCAGGTGGCACCTTTTTGGAAGGAACAATGATGAATTAAACTCCTGAGCCCTGGCTCCACAGTTAGATGCTCCAATCTACTAAGCTCATCAGTTCCCTGAATGTGTATTGTATATAGCCTGTTTCCTAAGAGACTGAGCTGTAGGCATACTGAGGTGAGAAAACATAGGATATAGGATCTGTTTAATATATAAATAAATCCTAGATACTTAATAAGAATACTTGAATCTGTTCAATTTTTTTCTTAAACTGTAAGATGCAGGAAATGTGTTGTTTCTCTGTTATCAAGTGTGGGATTTGTGTTGATTAAGAACAAAATGAGGCAGTCAAGGTGCAGTAATCTATTATTCCTCCTAAAAGATTACAAAAGTAAGCAAAGTGAAGTCCTTCAATATAGCTGTTTGGCTTTTACATGATTACTTCTGAAAGCTGATCTTTGCTTCATTCCTCTTACACAGCTGCTTCTAACTATAGTTGGACAGCAACAGTTTTCACAGAGAAGCCTATCTTTTAATAAGCTATAAGAGAAACGATTGCTGTTTGTTTTTAATGCTCCATTTTAATCAAGAATTGTGTAATTTCCTTCCAGTTATACATAGAACCATGAATAAGTAAAATTCTGATATCCAGGGCAGTCTCTATGACTGATTTTTCTTGTATGGTTCTATGTCATGTTGCAGGAGTCAATCTCTCTCTCTCTCTCTCTCTCTCTCACACACACACACACACACACACACAGAGAGAGAGAGAGAGAGAGAGAGATTTGGGTCACTGCCCTATTTTCCATAACAGACAAACCTGTACTGGATTCCAGGTACATATTCCCATTGAACTCATTATTTGTTTTATTTATTTATAGGCCACCTTTCTTCCAATAATTTATATTGTGTAATGTTTAATGTATATAGTCCTACAGCTTCAAACAATATACAAAAAAAGGTTAAGAACCACTGGTTTAATGTATATAGTCCTACAGCTTGAAACAATATACTAGACAAAAGTTCTGGGTTCATTTGGCAGCAATGAAATAAACATCTGTGGTATAATTATTTTGACAGAGGGCATTGAGATGATAAATGAAGATAAGGAAGAAGGAACAGAACTACAGAGGATACATAAAGAAAGCAAGGACATTTATAGAAGGGCAGAAGAGCAGCATGAAGTTTCTCCATCCAAGGAAGTCACAGTAGAAGGCTGTCTTATAGAAATCCCTCAACATGAGTCAAGTAATGGTGAACCTGTAATTTCTGTGGAGTCTATAGATAATTTTTCTGATAATGACAAAGTGCCCAAAGCCACAATCTGCTCTGACTGTGGAAAAAGTTTTAGTAATAGCTCTCACTTAGTCCGGCACCGTCGTGTCCATACAGGGGAGAAACCATATAGGTGCCCCCACTGTGACAAAAGCTATCGCCAGGACTCTCATCTCGTTCAACACATGCGCTCCCACACAGGCGAGAAGCCATACCGCTGTACACAATGTGGCAAGGGCTTCTCCCAAAGTTCCAATCTCATCATCCACCAGCGGACACACACAGGGGAGCGCCCCTTCACCTGTCCGGAGTGCGGCCGGAGCTTCAGCCATAGCTCTGATCTTATTCAACACAAACGGATCCACACAGGGGAGAAGCCCTATGTCTGCTCCATCTGTGGAAAATGCTTTTCACAAAGCTCCAAGGTCACCCAGCACAAGCGCTTTCACTCTGGAGAACGACCATTTTCCTGTGGGGAATGCACCAAGACGTTCCGTCTCCGTGCTGACCTGGTCCGCCACCTCCGTGCCCACACTGGTGAGCGACCTTTTGGCTGCCCAGAGTGCGGGAAGCACTTCGCCGAGAGCTCCCATCTTATCCGGCACCAGAGGATCCATATGAGTGAGCGGCCTTTTCGCTGTCCAGACTGTGGGAAAGGGTTCAATCAGAGCTCCAATCTCCAGCAGCACCAGCGGGTACACCGAGGACAAAAACCCTTCAAGTGTGATGAGTGTGGGAAAGGTTTCGGTGTAAGCTCAGCACTCCTGCAGCACCAACGCACACACACTGGTGAACGGCCCTACTGCTGCAGCCAGTGTGGGAAGAGCTTCAGTGTCAGTTCTACCTATCATATACACCAGCGTATCCATGCTGGCCAAAAGCCCTACTCGTGTGCTGACTGTGGGAAAGGGTTTGTACGCAGCTCGGCTCTCCTTCAGCACCAAGCCACTCACACTGGTGAAAAGCCCTTCCGATGCCCCTACTGTGGCAGGGGCTTTGGACAGAAGTCAGCGCTGTCTCAGCATCGGCGAGCCCATGTGAGAAGAGGAGAGACAGTGACTTTGGTGGAGGATTGGGATGGTGCTGGCATGGAGGGTATTGGGGACCAAGGACTAGAAGGAGGGGTAGACGGCATGTGGCAAGGCAATGGAATTGGAATTATGGGGCAGGAGTGGCCTGGTGATGGGAATGAGCGCATGCAACAGGAATGGGAAGATGATGGGGATGAGACTATGAGAACAGAGTGGCCAGAAGATGTCGATGAGAGTGAGGAGCAGCAATTGCAAGAAGATGGCAGAGAGGACACAAAGCAGGAATGGAAGGAAGGTGCGGATAGAACTGTGAGGACACAGTGGCAGGAGGAGGAGGATGAAGATGAGGGAGTGGAGCAGTGTTCCCAGGATGACTGTATAGAAAACATGAGACTGGAGTGTCAGGATGACGACGACAATGATGATAATGAAAGGGTGGAGGTGGGTTTACAAGGCGAGGTTGTTGAGAATGTGAGGCTTGAGTGTCACGATGACAATGAAAGTGCAGAGGAAGATTTGGAGGACGTTGGTGATCCAAAAATGAGGGGAAAGTATCCAGAAGAAAGTGTGGAGCAAGACTGGCAGGATGGTAAAGAGCAGAGCTTACGAAAGGAGTGGGGGAACATTGCTGAGAAAAATGCAAGGCAAAAAGCAACAAGAGTGGAACTGGAATGGCAGGACAGTGAAGATCATAGTGACAGACAAAGTTGGCTGGGAGATGAGGAAGAGAGCTTGGAAGCTGAAGGGGAAAAGAGTGGGCGACAGTCTTGCCATGATGATGAGGGGCCTGTGGAATTAAACTGATCAGCTGGGGGTGTACAGAAAGCAATGAGTGGAGTGTCTTCGGAGTTTACATGATAGCCAGAAGCAACAAGGCATTAACTGAAAGTGTAGTGGGCAGAAATAACTATGCTACATCTTGGTACAAAGTGGCCTTGTTCTTCTGCATCAATTATGGCCATATTTGTGTTGGTGGCAGATTCTGTCAAGGCTGCTCTCCAGTTGAAAGTGTTCCTCAGCCCTAGTACCTGCATGCCTGGCCTGGGTAGTATAAAGTAGCTGCCTTTTGGTCAAGCTATATGACGATCCAGATCCCGGTGTTGTCCAGTCTTGTGCCATTTGCTGATCAAATTAATTCCAAATGGATTATTTTACTCAGTCACTTTTTAAATCTTATATAAATCTCCATGGTGTGCCATGCTGCCCAGTTTTAACCATAAGCTACTAAAAACATGTAAAGCTCCTCCCTTGAGGTAAGTGTATATGTGTTATGTGCCATCCAGTTGCATCTGGCTTACGGCAACCATAATAGGATTTTCAAGGTACAGTATATGAGATATTTCAGGGGTGCTTTTACTATTGCCACTCCCCAGCAAATTTCCATGGCTGAGCAGGGATTTGAACTCGGGTCTTCTGAGTCTTGGCCCAACACTTTATCCACTACACCGTACTGGGTGTCTTCAACAGTAGGTGCCTTTGCATAAAGAAGTGGCTGCCCTTCCTTACTGTGTAAGCAATTCTTGCTGTACTCCTGGAATTTTTTAATTTTTATTTTGAAAGACTACCACATCTTAAGACTGAATGCTTTGAAGTCACTGGCTAAAAAGGTGCTTTGTGAGCAAAACCCAATAACATTGTGTTTTATTTTCACAGTTATTATTTAGGAGCCCTGAAGAATCAGGGGGCATATTTAAGACTCCAGTATTTAACTAGAACAGCGTTCAAACCTCTTATTGCATGCCCCAGACCCTTCGTCTCCTCCCTTCAACTGTAGTTATTTTTGTAACATTCTGATTTCCTTCTTTTACCAATTTCTCCCTCTTATGAACTAATAAATGCTCTTTTTGATTCCCTTCAAGTGTATGGACTCAATAATTATGTGCCATCAAGTCACTTCTGACTTATGGCAACCCTTTTCAGGGTTTTCTAGGTAGTCACTACTAAGAAATGGTTTACCATTCATTTTTCTGGGGTGCCCTGGGACAGTACAGCTTGCCCAAAGCCATATAGGCTGGCTCTGCTCCCTGGAGATACAGTGGAGAATTGAACTCCCAACCTCTGGGTCTATAGCCAGATACCTAACTCTCTGAGATATCCAGGCAGCTAACATGCTGACTTCTATGTTACTTAAAAATAGTTTTTCTAAATCCCTTTCAATATCCAACATTGTATATAGTCTGGATATTGGAACATACAGTATTTATATTATTTACAACCAGAATGCCTATATGTTTTCAGATGCCTGATCAAGACTCCCTGACCTAGATCTGGAGATTCACATAACTTGTTCTGCATGTCTTTGACTTGTGTTTTAGAAACAACTACATGAAACCGCAGAAGCCTCTGTGCTGTAAGGTCTGTAGATCTTCAGCTGTAAGATCGAATCCACGTGATGGAATGAGCACCTGTCGCTTGTCCCAGCTCCCGCCAACCTAGCGACTCGAAAGCATGCAAATGCGAGTAGATAAATAGAGACCACCTTGGTGGGAAGGTAACAGCATTCCGTGTCTAAGTCGCACTGGCCATGTGACCACGGAAGATTGTCTTCGGACAAACACTGGCTCTATGGCTTGGAAACGGGGATGAGCATTTCCCCCTAGAGTGGAACACGACTGGACCAAAATTGTCAAGGGGAACCTTTACCTTTACGTGGCCAACTTATTTTGAATTCATTAGCAAGTTGTCATATGGCTTGGAGATTGATCCACAATAAAAAGCAGGCCAGAATTTGGGATTATTTGGGACGCACATCAGAGTAACTGTAATTGTGTAAACTGCAATAGAGAATGTTGCCAAATCAACTATTACATACAGCAAGAATGCAAGCAACAACATTAATTTGAGCAATAATGTTAATCTGTGGCAATTTGACCACTATGGTTTGCACAGTTATATTTAATAATAATAATGAGTTTCTGTCAAGTCAGAACTTATTGATGGCAATCCTTTCCAGGGGTTTCTAGATACAGAGTACAGTACTCAACAGTGATTTATCACTTCCTTCTTGTGGGGATATCCTGGGATAGTGTAGCTTGCCCAAGGCCACACAGGCTGGCTCTTTTTCAAGACTCACCATGGGGAATTGAATTTCTGAACTCTGGTTCCACAGCCAGAGCCTTAGCTTGCAATGGTTAAAACTGCTGTACTGCAGCCAAAACTGCGCTCACGACCTGGGGTTCAATCCCAGGTAGCGGCTCAAGATTGACTCAGCCTTTTATCCTTCCGAGGTCAGTAAAATGAGTACCCAGCTCACTGGGGGGGGGCAATGTGTACCCTGCATAATTAACTTGTAAACCGCCCAGAGAGTGCTTGAAGCGCTATGGGACGGTATATAAGCAGCATGGTTTGCTTTGCTTTGCTTTAGATAACCAAATCACTGAACTACCCCAGTGGAAAACCCAGATAATCAAAGAGGTGTCACAATCTATTTTCTCTTTTAAGCTGAATCTTGATTTACTAAAGTTTCTTTGAAATGGTTGTTGTGGGTTTTTCGGGCTCTTTGGCCATGTTCTGAAGGTTGTTCTTAATGTTTCGCCAGTCTCTGTGGCCGGCAGAGTGCTGTCCTCTGATATTCTTTGAAATTTTTTTTTCTAAAAGAGGATGAAAACTATGTGTCCAGTTCCTATTTCAAAATCCAGAAAAAGCCGCAAGTGGCCCTGCATAATCTTTCGTCTCTGATGTGAAGTGGGGCAAGTGACACCTTAAGTAGATTTAGAGAAGCTCAATCTAAATTTGGGGTCAAGAGCCACAACCCATCTGGGGAAGTGATGACAGCTATGAAGGGCCTCCACCGGACAAGTCTACTCCCTTCATCTCCTTTCTGCCACTCACTGCAACATGCTGCTTTCAGCTCCGTGTTTCTAGATGCCATGTAATGAGAACTTGCTATGTGCTGCCCTGGCATATGTTGGTGGCCTGTTAGTTTGCCAAGGCTGCTAATCGAAATGCCAAAAGTTAACACAACTGCTGCCCCGTTTTCCACGGCGGATGCCCCAATGGTGAGAATGAAAGGTCTCACTGCCAGCACCCGAAAGATTTCTGGCAGAGCAAACATTCGGACCACGGACCACAGATCAAAAGTCTAAGGGGAGAAAGTTAATTTTGTCATTGAGTCTCGGCTTCTCTGTTCAATGGGTCTGCTAAGCTCCCATTGGATTCTTTCTCTTTATCGCTTTCTACATTGCCTTCTTCCCCTCTGTCACCTGCCACGATGCCTTCTAGAGGTAACACAGTCTCATTTTCTTCTTGGAGGTCCATCTTCTGCTTATAATTACGTTTGAAGAATCCACACTGCAAGTGAAAAGAACGGGAAACTATTAATCAAAAAAAGCAAGGTGCTTAATTGGGTGTGGGAGACATACTGTAATCTCAAATGTTATACCATTAAAAAAATAGCTTTGGGCAACACATGAGCCCTACAGCGTAACCCAATAATATTGTACTTGTCGGTCTGTCTCTCCCTTTCTTAATCAGAAAATAAACTGGATAAACAAATGAAAATGAGGACCAGGCCTTTGGCCAGTTCAGCCCAGATTACGGAGTACTTATGTGGGTCTGCCACTTTAAAACTGGCAGCCTAATTTAACCCGCAGGGTTGCTATAAAGTACTTTGTGTAGACTTCGATAATAACAGGCACAATGCAGCCCATGTTAAGCATGCTTAAGTTCAATTAATTCCAGTGGGAGAGTTAAGCACTGTATGGCATTCATATCTATAGTCTGATTCCCGTTGCTTAGTGTAGTAAGTCACACTAGAGTAGGCTCACTGAATCAGCAGAGGTTTGACAAGCCAACCCCTACGTAAGTTCCACTGATTCAAATGGACCTTCTCTAGTTGTGACTTACTTTAGCACAACCTCCTCTGTAAATTGACCCACCAAATCTTCAGTGATTCAATGGGCTTACTCAAGTGTCACTCACTAAACTCAGGAACAGGATTTCAGCCATAGATTTAAAAGGGATTCATCTTGGATCACACAAATTATCTTAAAGAATGATGGTTATTCGACAGTTCTGATCCAGACAATTCTTCAAACTGAAATGGAATAGATCAGTATCCCCAATCTGTGCGCATATAAGAGAGAGCTTTCATGTTGTGGTAGTTTTCATCAGAATCAGAACATCCTATCAGACTAACACGGAGACCTATTCTAGAACATTTTATATCATCAATAGAGTAATACATTTTAAGATAAGTAAGTCCAGCTTCTGGGACAAAGTAGACCCAATCCTAGAGGCAGAAAAATAGAATATATCATACCAAATTATTTAACAATTAAATACAGAAATCTATGCATTTTTGGATTGATTGATTGGTTATTTTCTTTATATAACAAGAGCTGAGCAATTTGTACAATTACAGTCAACCAGTTTTTACTGCCTTTCCTGCAGTACGTCTCAGGACAAAAAAAAATCTAAATGGGGCAACATGGAGGTACAGACCTGTTCTCTAAACATGACAAAACAAATTCTGCACGAGTCAAATTTGATCTAAAAATCTCTTCCAGTGTAGAATCCTCATAGCTTTGATACAGGGTTTAGTTTTTTTTTCTAGCAACTTCCATCAAGTATTAGTGGAGCCATGTTTGGGGACTGGCCATATCACAGATGCATAGCACATTCTTTGTGAGTATGAAGTTCCATGTTCATTCCTGGCAACACCAGGTAGAACTAGGAATGAAAAGCTGGTGCACTGCATAGAGAAAACAAAGTCAGGCAGACCAGTGGTTTCATTCACTACAGGGAACCTCCTATGAACTGAATCTATGAACTGGTTTGAAAAATTAACATTTGTTGCTTTCAACTACTACAAATGATTTTTTTAAAATTTGTTGCCCAAAGAAGAAATTAAAGTCTCAGCAATTCATAAGGAACCCCAGACCTCCAAAGTACATCCACTCTTACCTTGTAAAGTCCAAAAATGATAAGGATCAACAACAACAAGCCTCCAATGCCACTGCCTATTATAATAGGAAGATAATTCATCTCAGTGATCACCTCCACTTCAGTGACCTTTGAGAGTGTTCATGTGGCAGGGGATAAAGTAAAGGAAGAGAGAGAGAAAAGACATAGAGAATCACTAACCATACTGGAAGCAGACTGATACAAACAGCTTGATTCTGGTGAATCTAAATCAGTAGTGAAAAGATACCTGTATTATTACTTAAGGCTAACATTTCAGCCCAATAGAATGTTTTCCCCCAAATAAGTCCTTTGTTTATTTAATTGTTTCTTTGCAATATACTGTACATGACACTCAGAATATAACAATAATCTTAGAACTGTAGAGCTGGAAGGGACCCTATGGATCATCAAGTCCAGCCCCTGTCAACAAGGCACAAGTGGGGAATTGAACTTCCAACCCTTGGCTCCGCAGCGAGGGACCTACACCACTGAGCTACCCAACAGTTCCTATGTTTGTTGCTTCTCACCTGAAAGCCCTGTTACCAGACAGTCAAAAAGCAAGCAAAACAACATGTTTTGAAGCACAGTCTTATTTTCTGTGAAGCCCACTAGTGATGGTTGCACATCTATACAGAGGTGCCTCGCTAGACAGTTATCCCGCATGACAGTTTTTTCGCTAGACATTGGCTTTTTGCGATCACTATAGCGATTCGCAAAACAGTGATTCCTATGGGGGAATTTCGCTGGCCAATGTTTGGTCCCTGCTTCACAAACCGATTTTCGCTAGACGACGATTTTGACAGCTCCCTCCACGCTTGCAAAACAGGTGTTTTCGGGACCTAAGCTTCACAAGACAGCGATTTAAACAGCTGATTGGCGGTTTGCAACGCAGCTTTCCTATGGCCGATCTTTGCTAGACAACAACGATTCTTCCCCATTGGAACGCATGAAACAGGTTTCAATGCATTCCAATGGGGAAATGCTTTTCGCTAGACAATGATTTTGCTAAACAGCGATTTCAGTGGAACGGATTATCATCGTCTAGCGAGGCACCACTGTATTCATTTCAAAGTAGATACGTGTGTGGCAACCAACTACATATGTTATAGGTAGGGAAAGTAGCAAAAGGTGTATCTTCAAAATACTGTTCATTATTCTAAAAGAAAGGGAGCCATGATACTCAACATGACCAGATCATCGTTGGGCTTTACAATTCTGGCCAGAATCCTGCTGGCTCTGCACAAGCACAACATATGTCCACAATTATGTCACTGGCATGTACACTTGTATACTCAGTATGCACATCCAGGTACTTTGCAATTCATTTATGAAAACAATGTGCCTCAAATGTGACCAGGGCCTCAAATTTGCCTGATCAACAATTTGGCCCCAGTGAGAGTGGCTTCACTCTTCATTATGAGAATGAAATTCGTAAGTCAGTCTATATTTGATTATTCAAATATAGAACCAAACAAAGACATTTCCAATTTCCCTCCTACAGTGTTCCCCGAAAATAAGACAGGGTCTTCTATTAATTTTTGCTCCAAAAACACATTATGGCTTATTTTCAGGGGTTGTTTTATTTTTTTCCATGTACAACAATCTACATTTATTCAAATACAGCCGTGTCATCTTCTTCTGGTTGCTGCATAAGGGTGGAGGGCAGAGTTTCACTTAACCGGGGCTTATTTTGGGGGTAGGGCTTATATTACGGGCATCCTGAAAAATCACACTAGGGCTTATTTTCAGGAAAACAGGGTACCTCTTCAGTACTACCTGAATGGAACTAGCAGACCGAAGTTTGAGAACCTTTGTTCTAAAGGTTATATGCATTGTTATAACTGTATTTTTGATGATTTTATATATGTTATACTGTTGTGTTTTTATCTATGCAAGCCGCCCTGAGTAGACATTGTCCAGAGGGGCGGGGTAGAAATCTAATAAATAAACAAACAAACAAATTCAGTTGAATTCTTTAGCAGAATATGTTGCATGAACCATTGTTGTAATGTAAACAATGCAAATGCATTTTCAGTGAGTAACAAAAATAAATAATTCCAAAAGAATACAATACCTGAAATTGGGCAAATCTATGACCATAGAAATTTTTGTATCTTTCAGTGTCAAACGTTAACCACAGGGCTGTGCAAAATTTTGACCGAGGGAACTGCTGCAAGCATAAGGAAAGGGACGTCAATTCATAAGCAGACAATTGCAGCTTTCACTATTAGTTTGTTTAAAATAGTTTTATCCCACCTTTCACCTTAAAAAGTTCCCGCGTGCAGCTTACCGCTATTAAGAGACCGCTTTGTTTAAAATAGTTTTATCCTGCCTTTCACCTTAAAAAGTTCCCGCATGCAGCTTACCGCTATTAAGAGACCGTATTTAAGCTAACAACAGCGAATACATAGTACTAAAAAGATCAAATTAATGCAATACTAAAAAACATAAGCAACACCAAAATGCATTCAATGTAGTAAGGTACAACAATTCATTTTAAAAACCACTCAGTCAACTCAGGGAAAGCTTGCCTGAAGAGAAAGGTCTTTGCCTACTTGCAGTAGGACAGTAAAGATGGGGCCAACCTGCCCTCCTGTGGGAGGGGGTTCCAAAGTCTGGGAGCAGCAACAGAGAAGGTCTCTCTCCTGTGTCCCCCACCAAACACACCTGTCTGAGCAACAGGCCTCTCTTGGTGACCTTTAATAGGTTAACTTGAAGACTCATTATCTTGGTGATTATTTTGAGAGGGTCTAGGAACCCCTTGTGACACAGTTATGGTTTCTAAATCTAGAATAAGAAGATCACAGCTCGATCAACAAGTCTGGTCACTCTAGAGAGATGTCTGCCCATATGATTTACATCAAATATAATTCGAAAGAAAATTTGCAAAGGTAGATGAAGGCTGGAGTTCAGTGGTTTAGTCATGTTTTGCTTGCAGAATGTCCCTGGTTCAACCCCAGCCTCTTAAGGATAGCTAGAATTAACTCCTTCCTGAAACTTTGGAGGGCTGCTAAAACAATCCTGATTTAGTGAAAGGCAGCACATGGGTTAGCTCCTACACACAATTTAATATTTTGGGTTCAGTAGCTTTCCTTTTGTGGTCTGCATCCTGAGGATATTGCTCCGGCTCCTTAAATTCTGGGAAACTGTGTTTTTCCCTCAATCTGGAAGCTCCTAGCGAACAGAGGAAAAAATACAGTTCTCCCAGCTACTTCCATAAAACCAGTCTGTTGCAACCTATTATTTCTAAGGAATACAGGAATCTTACCTCAATGCTGCCGTTAGCAAACATTACCCCAGTAACATTGATTATAGAGGAATTTATCTGTCCAAGGTCACAGCTGTAGATGTGATATTCACTAGCTGCACATTGCTAGAAAGAGGAAAATAGAACAATTAATGAAAGAGCCCATCCACATTTTAAAGGTATGTTGCAAAAGCAGGTGCATCTCTTGAATGGGCCAGTAGCTCTTATTCAGACCAAACTTACATCTCTGTATATTAATATGTTTGGAATTTGTTTTGCAACCAGAACAGGGCTTGAAGTTCATACATATCCACCTCCTTCAACACATAAATCCACTCCTGGTTTTCTTTTAACATTACTTATTTCAGTAGCCTGCTTTAGAGAGGAAATTCCATGTTTCTGTTGTTGCTATTGTTGAAGCACAGGCAACCCAAAACATTTTCCAATCTACTGCAAATCTCCCTGAGTTCTGTTAGCAAATCCCAGACTGTCTTCTTTCCCCACACCTCTACTATCAAATACAGACAAATGGAACAAACACACATATTCTTCGCTCATTTACTTCTGCTTCTATTTCTTTCCCCTTTCTTTGTTATTTTCCTTGCGTTGAGTTACAGTTCGCAAGCCCTGTTGGTGAAGGGGCTGGCAGGTTGATGGCACAGCAATACGTAATGTATTTAATTTTTAATCTTGCAACAGCCTTTGAGATCTAAAACTCTGCAAGTAACACTCATACTGAGGTTTTAGTCTACCTCCTCCTCAATCCACTTGGAAGGCTTGTGTTTCTCCGTTGGAATAAGTTGGCAAAACACTGAGGGATCCTGGGAAGAGAAGAAGACTCTGTGTTACCACACCAAAATCGTGAACATTTGAGACTGTTCTTGTACCAGTTTTTCAACCAATCCATGAGCCATGGGTACTTCTGATGAGACTATTATTGCTCTGCCACATCACCAGATTTTCAGAAGAGCTAAATTATAGTATCTTCCACTTCTGATCACCACACATTTTCCCTCTGGTTCACTCCTATCTTTAACAACTCCAAAATTATCTAACTGCAGAAAGGAAGGATATATGAACAGAATGGTGATGTGGTTTTCCAGCAGCTGTAAACATGAAAATGTGAGATGAAATACCAAGGTGGTCTTCTCGGGGGAAGATGAACAATATATTAAGGATGTCCATCCTTTCCCCGTCACTCGTTCTCAATGGTGATCTACAGAGCCACGTCTTGTAGCCAAAGAGAAGTCCCTTCCCAGATCCCACTCTTATATGAGGTTTACAAAGCAGGGAGAGATGACTTTGAATACAGCAGCATTTAGTGTGTAGTAAACACAGAAGAACTAGTTGTAAGTCTGACATTCCTGGACATGCCCATTGTAACAATGTTTACTCAAAACTGAGATTGCAATCCACTTGCACTGTGGGGCAGGTACTCTTGGTTTTTAAAAGGTAAATCTTAGACATACCTTTTTTAAAAACTCAAGACTACTGATTCAAATGCTAGAGGAAAGCTGTGCAGCAACTAGGAGAGGTCAAGAAAGAGCCGGAGACTCGACTCAATTGGTTATGTCACTCCTACTACACTGATGGGATAGAGGTACACACAGGCTAAAGATCCTAGACCCCCATGAAGTGCAATAAATCAACAGGAATTTCACTTTTATCTTGCAGCGATAGAGCAATGACTGACTGACAGCACTAGGAAATCCCTGTCTGGAAGGATCTCATGCTTTAACGCCTTGGAAAGCTGCTGCAGAATGACTTCTATCAAATGTTCTGATCTAGCACTGGAGGGTGCTGTGTTTCTACCTTGTACGCTTCGTTGCTAATACTCACAGTTTGGATGTTTTTCACGTCCCATATCAGCCTGCCAGGAAATTCAGTGGGCACCTTCACAAAGACAGACACGGCAGGAGGCGGAGAAGTACCTATGGGCCAGTTGGTTATCTGAGGGGTAACGGGGGGGGGGGGGGGAAGGAAGGAAAATGAGACAAAGTAAGGCAAGAAGTCTTAACATGGTAAAAGAAATGCTGGCAGAAAAGAAGCGGAAATGGACAGCAATAACACAGTACAAGATAGTTCCTTATATCCAAGTCAGAAAATTAAAACCACTAGAGTCTAGCTCCCTATGGTCTACCTTGTTTTACAGATAGATATGGAGTCTGTTGTTGTTGTTATTGTTGTTGTTGTTGTTAGTGCTTCCAACATATTTTTGGTATCACCTGGCAGGACAAAGTTCCAAATACAGTAGTCCTAGAATGAACTGGGATTTGTATTGTTTTGTGTGGTTACCAGCTATTGCTTCTTACTCACATTATATGAGTGTGTCACGGTCTTGTTTTCTTGATGCAAAAAGGTGAAGTTAACATAGTGAGTAGATGTCTCCATCCTGCACAGGAGAAAAAGTAGAGTAGTGAAACATGAAGGCAAAGTCTTCATATCAAAGTTGTGTTCTATGCCTGACTTTGTTCTCTGATTTAAGGCTTTTAAAAAATAGAATTTCACTGGGAACATTTTGTTTCCTTCCTTCCTTCCTTCCACATACAGAAGTGATATTTGACCCCTTGCCTACTTTGTCCAACAGAGTCAAAATTTTGTTTCCTTTCCCAGCAGAGGCAAAATGTGTCATATCATCCCCCTTGCAGGGAAAAATAGGTAGCAACTCAAGTCATTGGAGGAACAATTATGGGAGGACAGGGTGGGAAAAAAGACTAAACATCCTTTTCTTTTCAATTCCCATTACTCTGTGAACAATTTTACTGTCTCCTGCAGAACCTATTTCAAATACATGTGTTTATGTTCCCATCTGTTATGCAATCTCTGCTCTGGCTTTCTGACTTCACTCTCACTGAAATAATGAATTTATTTCTGGGCTATACCACTTTAGAAATCCCAGGATCATATGTTCTCTATAGAAAATTCTCTTATCAGCACATGCACAGAACATGCTGGGGAATAAAGATATCTCCTAACCTTCTACCTGACATATTGGGGTTTTTTTGTGTAAAAGGAGTCCCGTTTCCCCCCATTGCACGTACACACACCATTCAGCAATGTGTAGTAGCCCCCTGAGGGGCTAACCACTGTTGTATACTCATGGTCTTCAACTTAAATACTATTGTCTTTCATTGTTGGAAGACATTTTGGGTCCTTTTCGAGGAGAAAGGTGGGATAATAATATATTTTAAATAAATATGTATATAATTGGTATTGTTAATATATTTTCTGTATATCTTAAATCACTGATGATTTTTCCATGAACGTTCACTTTTCTTTCATCTGAATCTACTCCAGCTTTTCACATGCCTTTCCTGACCTCTTTGCCATGGGAAACTATTTTGTTTCTCTGTACTCTGTCTTAGCAATAGCATCTTGACAAGAGTATAGACTACACATTAAAACCATCAAATGTATTGCAACGTCTTTATGAACAATGATCAAGCAGACGCTTACCTCTCAGCAATGATGTTGACAGGATACTTGACAGGGATGCGAAGTTTGGCTGTGTTGTCAAGAGCAGTGTCATTCCACTCATTGTCGCTGTAAGACAGACAGATGCCAAGAACATGTAAACTATTTGTAAAACCACTTACATACAGTACTTTACAAATCATCCTGACTTTCGGAGAAATAAGCACAGCTAAGAAATCCAATATCTAAAACTCCCCAACATCCTAGTGTCTATTACCTATTATTACACAGCAATAAGTGTTCTCCTGCTTATCTTGAACTCCTATTATTGTTCCCTGTGGTTGAAATAACATTTGTTTCCTCAATTCTTCAAGTTCCCGATCTTTCCTTAATGACTTGACCTGGCTGTAACTTACTGTGTCTGCCACCTGACTTCTCCGTTTTGCAACCTTTTCATTAAGCCCCGTGCTTTCCGAATCCAGCCCTACACCTTGAGTAGAAGCCTCAGAGCTTGGAAAGCTGCTTTTTAAAAAGTATAGTTACAGCTACAGTTCAAGGTTCTCCAAAATTCAGTGAGTTTCTATTACACTTGCAAGTATTTAAAGCAGCTCTTCAGATCCCCATGTCACAGAAGTAGCTAAAATAGTTACTTTTAGTTAATTAAAAAAAAAAACCCTGAAGATAAAAGCCACTGGCCTGTGATACAAAACACACTTTTCCCCAGTTTTCACAAACAAAACAGAGCACGAAGCACATTTAAACCAGGGGCAAGTAAAATGCAGGGCCCCTTAGTGGACACATTCAAAATTGTCAGAAATCCTCAAAAAGCCCCCATCCCCAGGAATTGAAGTCCAAGAACATCTGGAGGCCCAAGGTTGGAGACCACTGCCTTAGTGGACACATTCAAAATGTTCAGAAATCCTCAAAAAGCCCCCATCCCCTTTTTATGGGTCATGGGTGGCAATTCTGCCACATTTTGGTGTGCCTGAGTTATTTTAGGCAGCAGAGTTTGTTTTTCTTTCAAAAGTGGAAGTCACTTCCAGTTCTGAAAGCAAGATCTTTCTTTGACTTAAACAGCCCAAGAACAGCCAAAAATACAAAAAAACAAAAAAGTAGTAAGAGCCCCCAGCTGGTGAAAAGGAGAGTTACTGAAAAAAATTTGGAGGCTTATGGAACATAGGATTGGGTGCAAACCACAAAAATCCTGAGGTGAGAAAGTATGGTCCTCAGACTTCTGGAAGTTGCCTATCCGATTTCAACCATAGGATATTCCTTCTCCACAATGTGGGGAAGCCATGATATATAACTGTAAAGGTAACTAAAAAATCACAGTTATACTGCAAAAGGAATGATATTACTCCTTGTTGGGTTGCGACAATTATGAAGTGCAGTTCCACTTTCAAAGCGGACAAAAGGAACTGCTTACAAGTAACTAGTTATCGGTAACACTTCCAAATTCGATAAAGCACTATAATGAGGGCCAATGTTCCTTTTATCTTCCGTATAGCACAAAACAGAGTCTATGTCGGCAGATGCAATAAAGTTACCTCTGGACACATGCCTGCATCTCCAAATGGTCTCCCCAAACACTGTTGTCAAGAACGCCAAATCGGAGCTGGATCAAAGCCTGAAATGGAAAAGGGAGAACAACAGGAATAAGATGATAGACACAGCGCCCTCTCCCTCATTCCCACGGTATAATACTAATCCCCTCCTCTTTCATCTCCATGCAGCAGATAAGTTCTCCTGCTATCTCAGATCTGTAAAAAAAGTATTTAAAGCTCAGGAACATAGATTACGAAAGACATGTTTCTGGACTTTAACTTCACAAATAGCCCAGCCAGCATGCCTTTGTTGTTGTTTAGTTGTGTCAGACTCATCATGACCCCATGGACCAGAGCACACCAGGCCCTCCTGTCTTCCACTGCCTCCCAGAGTTGGGTCAAATTCCTGTTGGTCGCTTCGGTGACACTGTCCAACCATCTCGTCCTCTGTCGTCCCCTTCTCCTCTTGCCTTCACTCTTTCCCAGTATCAGGGTCTTTTCCAGGGAGTCTTCTCTTCTCATGAGATGGCCAAAGTATTGGAGCCTCAGCTTCAGGATCTGTACTTTCAGTGAGCACTCAGGGTTGATTTCCTTCAAAATGGATAGGTTTGTTCTTTTTGCAGTCCAGGGGACTCTCAAGAGTCTCCTCCAGCACCACATTTCAAAAGCATCAATTCTTCGGCATGCAGCCTTCTTTGTGGTCCAGCTCTCAATTCCCTACATCACTACAGGAAAAACCATAGCTTTAACTATTCGGACTTTTGTTGGCAAGGTGATGTCTCTGCTTTTTAAGATGCTTTCGAGATTTGTCATCACTTTCCTCCCAAGAAGCAGGCATCTTTTAATTTCATGGCTCCTGTCAACATCTGCAGTGATCATGCCTTAGGGCCATGCTAATTTCATGGCTCCTGTCACCATCTGCAGCGATTATGCCTTAGGGCCATGCGAACTAAGAAAGTCTGAGTGCTCTGGTCCAAAAAAGCAACTACCCCAAACTCAGGATTCAATTGTATCTTTAAACTAGGTAGCACCTTTCAGAAAACATTTTGGTTGTCACAGGCCTCACTCTTGAAGCAGCTTGTGCTTCCAGTAATTGTGAAATGCATAGCCTTTTGACTATAGGAGATAATGGGGATGATGGGAGGGATGAAGGATGGTTCAGCTACTGTTGGGAATGAACTGGGAAACTCCCCTGGGCAGTTCAGCATCTGCAGGGCCTAGATTGACCCTGTTCACCCAGAACAATCAGCACAGGGCTGAGGCAGTAAACCTGGAATTTAACCCTAGTTCATACAAAAGTCTTGCACAGGAAATGATGATATGAAGGACCATCAACCCTTAGCGCTAAACTGGTGTTCTCACACACCCACCTTTGTCTTGTTCCTGTAGACCGGATGGCTGATATTGCATGAGAGACCCTCGTGGACATGACTCTGCAGCATGCCGTCACAGCTTACAAGGATCAGGGTATTAGACTATGCAAGAAAAAGAGGAACTGAGTGAGGTGAAGCCATTAACCCAGCTGCAACAAATCATAAACCAGGCCCTCCCCAACACTGAGATATCCTGAGCACCTTAAACAAGAAGAGATACCCCATTCCAGAGCCTCGCAGGTCTCTGAATTGAACAGATTTCTCTTATATAAATAATGCACCAATAGGAGATAGCAGCACCTTGCTATGCATCAGAGCTCGGATGTATACAGTGTGTACACAAACACAACTCCCAGCAGAGCCGTAAATCACAATTTTGGTGTCTAGGACAATTGGCATCATCTCCCGCCTACTGACCCCTGATGCTTGGGCTCTGCTCCCTCAAGAAAAAGGAGGAGAAGGTTTTACCACTCTCATAAAGAAAATTTGTCTGTGTGTGCGTGTGTGTGTGTGTTTAAGAAGAAGGGTAGGAGTATTAGAGGTTTTTTTCCTAACAGTTAGGCCCGCTCCATCCTAAACACGCTTATGACCCTGACCCCCCAAAATCCCCTCACCCTGAGTGGCCAACCAGGCATAGGTTTTAGACTAAAGCTCCACAAATACCTCACAAAGGCTAGTAGTGGATGGTGGAGCTCCTGGGATTTGTATTCCAAAAAAGTAATTTTTCCAAATTCTACTAAGTACAGCCAAAAAGACTGCAATACAGGGAAAGGCAGCAAAGATGAAACCCTGACTTTTTTTAAAAAAACAGATAGAATACCCACTTTAAGAACAGATACTTTGCGGAAGGAGAGACCCGGCATGTGAGGCACACGGAGGACGGGATAGTATGCATTCTCTCGGAGGTTCTCCAGCTCCAAGTTCATATCCAGATAAGCTTGAGGGGATACAACCAGCTCCCGAGGCCTGAGATGACAAAGGAGTTTGGGAAAACAACTTGATTAAAAGCCTTTTGCATCCTGAAGCAAGTAAAGCAATGTAGGGTTTCTTTAGAATTCATGGACTACAGCCCCCACCTCAAGAGGGCTTTAATCAAGAAATCAAAGTCCTGGCCAGTATTTTCAAGTTCATAAACCAAATGAAACCAGACTCTTCAGCCATTTTCATACTGTGGAGAAGACAGAAGAAATGTGTGGGCAGGGCTAAGCTTTGTGGGAGGTGCAAGGGATTATGGGTCCAGGAGATTTTTTTCAAAGCAGTGGGTCCCAACCCTTAGGTCTCCATTTGTTCAACTCCCAGAACTCCTGGCCAACACAGCCAATGGTGAAGGTTTCTGGGAGTTCTAGTCCAAGAATATTTGGGGACCCAACACAGCCAATGGTGAAGGCTTCTGGGAATATTTGGGGATGATATCTGGGAATGCAAGGTTGAGAACCACTGTTTTAGAGGCTTCCTGTGCACAGCCTAATGGCCAGAGACCACCACATCTATAATCCCTTGCGACTCCTATAGGGCTTAGCCTGCCCATCTATTCTCCTTGTTGTCTCCACAGGATGAAAATGGCTGTTGGTGTCTGAATTCACTAGCCTGCACAGGAAAATACTGGTGAGGACTTCAGTTTCTTGATTAAAGTCCCCAAATGTCTGGCTAGGGGGATTTCTGCAGAATTCTGGGGATGTAGTCCATTAGGAGTATTAGAGGTTATTATCATTGTTTGGCCAGCAAGGTTGAGAACCACTGTTTTAGAGGCTCCCTGTGCACAGCGTAATGACCACAGACCACCACATCTATAATCCCTTGTAACTCCTATAGCGCTTACCCTGTCCATCTACAGTGTTGCCTCGCTAGATTATGATAATCCGTTCCACTAAAATCGCTGTTTACCGAAATAATTGTCTAGTGAAAAGCATTTCCCCATTGGAATGCATTGAAACCTGTTTCATGTGTTCCAGTGGGGAAGAATCGTCGTTATCTAGTGAAGATCAGCCATAGGAAAGTCGCTTTGCGAACCACTGATCAGCTGTTTAAATAGCTGTCTTGCGAAGCTTAGATCCCGAAAACACCTGTTTTGCTAGCACGGAGGGAGCTGTCAAAATCGTTGTCTAGTGAAAATCAGTTTATGAAGCAGGGACCAAACATTGTCCAGCGAAATTCTCCCGTAGGAATCACTGTTTTGCGAATCGCTATAGCGGGCGCCACTGTATTCTCCTCGTTGTCTCCACAGGATGAAAATGGCTGCTGGTGTCTAAATTCACTAGCCTGTGCACTTGAGAATACCTGTGAGGACTTCAGTTTCTTGATTACAGTCCCCAAATGTCTGGCTAGGGGGATTCCTGCAGAATTCTGGGGATGTAGTCCATTAACTCCAAAAATCCCATGCCTTGGTGTCATTGTTTGGCCGTACTAGAAAGCTAGCACAGCATTTGGATCTCATTGCACTCAAGAATCCACTAGATTGTCTCAGAACATATTTATGCAAAACAAGTGAATGATAATTTCATCCTCCAGTCTTGAAATTTTAAGAACTGCAGCACTCTGCGAGGGAAGAGACTAGGGAAGTGCAAGGACTGCTAAAAGAATTTCTTATATGCCCTAAAGACTTAAAAAGAGGGTATAAAAATGCTACCCCCATATTTTTCTGTGTATAAGATGCCCCCATGTATAAGATGCCCCCCCACGGTTCTAACCCAAAATTAAGAAATCTAAGTGGGGCTTAGCAAGTGGAGGGGGAAACAGGGATCAAAGCCCTGCAGGATCACTTTGATCCCTGCTTTCCCCTCCACTTGTTTTTTCTGTCCTCAGCTTACTTCCGTGTATAAGACGACCCTTAATTTTAAGCCTAAAGATTTTTAGACAAAAGTATAGTCTTATACATGGAAAAATACGGTATGTCTTATTATTATTATTTCACTAATCAAATCCTGCCCTCTCACTAATGCCTTTCATTTGCTCTCATTCTGCAAACAACATTAAGTTCAAGAACATGCTACAAACCCTGAACCACTGAATGAAATCCGCATGTCAGCTATACACACGCCATCTGTTCCGCAGTTCTTCTCAAAAGGAATCTAATATGTGTAGCAAGAGAACAGGATAGTTAATACATTACACCTGCCCAGCATCCTACCCCTCCACACTGCTGCTTACTTTGTACCCTGTCCATTCCACATCAGAACAATAAGTTCTACTTAGTTCCTGAAGACTGCTTTCAATTCAGAACACATTTATAGATGGTAAAGTAACTTACTGTCATGCACATTGCTCTTACAGAGGAAAACATGGGGTTTTGTACATCAAGTATCTTCACCGCATGCTGTGGGCATCGATCAGTCACAGTTTTGCACACACGCCAGTATGCAAACAGTTTACCGTTGATCGCTAAACCCACAACCTTCAAAGGAAACCCAGAATCCTATTGCTAAATCTATCTCCTGTGATAAATCTACTTTCTTTCTAGAAATAAGGTGCCCTGGCTCCCACCATTCACCTCTATTGTTGTCGTGTTGCTTAGGGGATTCAGAACAGGTTTTGGATGCCTGTTGCTGGTTTCGTTGTCATCCTTGAGGGAGAAGTTGACCACGACCTTGATAGCTGAGATGTAATCCTCAATACAATTCTGAAAGGTAATGGTGATAAGTTGCTACATGGCTCCACATTCCACATATAGATATAAGCCAGAAATTCCCAACGAAAGGTAGAAAAATCTGGAGGGAGGGAGGAAGAGTGTATCTGAAAATAAACTGAGGATGGGGAATTTCTGCGCTGTGGGCTGAAGATGGCCTACAGGAAGTTTCCATCCAGCTAGGAAGCTTCTTCTGCAAGCTCAGATCAGTAAAAGGCTATTTAAAATTCAGGAGAGTGCAGTGTGACAAAGAAAACTTTTTCATGCTACAAAAGAAACAATGCCTGAGGAGATGTTGCATGGAGCCAAGCACAGCTGCATCTGGAAATCCGTTGCATGATATATTACTGCTGAGTAGACACGGCAATGCCTGACCTGTCCTTCGCATGTCTGATGGGACAATGTACACATTGGTAAAAATGACATCTCGCCCTAAGCCCTCTGCTTTCGCTCTGTGCCTTTGGCCCCAGACATTTCTTTTAATTCCGTGGCTCCTGTCACCATCTGCAGTGATCATGGAGCCCAAGAAAGTAAAATCTGTCACTGCCTCCATATCTTCCCCTTCTATCTGCCAGGAGGTGATGGGACCAGTGGCCATGATCTTAGTTTTTTGGATGTTGAGCTTCAGACCATTTTTGGCACTCTCCTCTTTCACCCTCATTAAGAGGTTCTTTAATTCCTCCTCACTTTCTGCCATCAGAGTAGTATCATCCGCATATCGGAGGTTGTTGATATTTCT